TATATATATATATAAAACTTATCGTTTATCAAGCCTTCTTTAAAATTAATACTATTTGAGTGCTTTTAATGAACCATTCCGCAATACGGAATTGGAAGAAAAAGATAATAATCCCTTTTTTTTTCTTTTGAAATCAGGTTTTATTTTGTTTTAAACAAAGTGTTAAATATAATATTTGTCGCTTTTAAAAGTAATAAGGCTATTATTAAGTATAACTGCAAAAACTAATTATTATCATTAAATAATTGAAAAAAATATCCACTATCTTTCAAAAGATACCAGAATAAACAAATAATAACTAAATTAGGAGTATACTTTTATATTTTACTTTTAAACTTAACATGAAAATAAAAGCTTAGTATCAAAGGGAGTTCTTTATCAATATAAATGAAAATATCACATTTGATACTATTTAATATCATTAGTTAGCAGTATTCTTTATACAACATTACTGTAAATTTATTACTAAAAGTAATGATGTCTATTTTATTTTCAATTGAACAAATACATATTTTTATTTTTCACTTAAAGGAGCATGTAAAATGTAATTTTTTTTTTCTATTAAAACATATTTTGGAATGATGAAAAGGTCTAAAAGTGTTAAATGGGCTACATTTGACATTTTTAGTCCTGTACACATCAAATAATGAATAGTGAAGTAAAAGTATGTTTTAACAATAAAGTATAAACTTATTTTTTTCAATTTATTAACCTGCTAAATAAAATTTAAAAAAGCCTCTCATTCCCATTTATGCTTGTCCTATAATTACATTTTTTAAATAGTTTTAAAAACTATCAGAACACAGTCTGTGATGTTCTGTATTTTTAAGGACATTATAGCTTGACTTTAAATATACCAACATCAATTACTTTATATAAAAAATTATTTTTGTCAAAGAGCAATAAATATATATACATTTAAAAATCACATTTTGTAGGTGTACATACAATAACACACATTTGTGGTTAAACTCCAAATTACAAAGATTTAATGGAAATATTTATTTTATTTGGCTTTATTTAAGCTGAAGGTATTTATCTTATCTAAATAATGGAAAATTTAGTTATTTAAAAGACATTTGCTTTGACTTAAATCATGGTTTAAACCAACCAACTTTGCTACAATATTTGAAAGTTTCAAATTCTGCATTTTAATTTTTAATGAAATGATGTTTCAAGATGGTGTAACTTACATTTAATTGTTTTCATTTTTTAAAAGAATAAGTTTTTTTCTTCAGATGCTGAAGAGGAAAAGAAAAAATTAGAGCTTAAAGAAGGTGCAAAAAAAGAATTGGATGATTGGTATGCTTTATACAAAGAACAGATTGAAAAATCTAAATTGAATAATAGGTGAGTTGTTTAGAAAATCTTTTGGAAACTGGGTGTTACTTAATGTTCTTGTTAGGATATTTTATAGCTTGAAGTATTATATAATTTAAGAACATTTGTATTTTTGTTTTGGATAAGAGAAAAAAAAGTTTTTTTACTACCATGAACTAAATTATTAAGATTTACTTTTGTATTTAAGCTTTATAATAAGAATAAAAACAAGAAATTGTGTTGTGGAATTCACATTGTACATCACTTTGAATCTGCAAAACACTCTCGTAGTAGGAGGTCTTGAAAGAGTTTTAATGAAACTTTCAAGTTCTTCTTTAAAGTGATGTAAAATTTGAATCTTTGTTATTATTTACTTTCATAGTTATTTAAAAAATTTTAAATCAAATGTTTTTATATGAATCTTGTCCCTTCAAATTTATTCCTGTTCCTTGTGCAGTTAATAGTTAAGTAGTTAATTTGTTTTAAATCATAATTTTCAATATTTTTATATAAAATATTTGATTGGAATGTTTCGATTTATATATTGCTTAGTGTAGTGTTTTCAAATTTACTAAGTTTCCTATGTTTTATTTCATTTTTCATTGCTAGTTTTTGTTTTCAAAGCATTGTTATGTGTAAATGCAGCTGTTTTGCTCGAACGTACTTTTTTAGTCTTTAGTTCTTAGTTTCTTGTGCATTTATGATGCTATGTTTTGTGGTTGCTGAAATCATTTTGTTAAAATCTTGCTATCTTTATAATTTCTTTTTTACTATGCTAACAGGGAAGAATCTAAGTAAGTTCACTTTTACTTCTATTTTCTATCTTTAACGCTCAACATTGCTTTGTATGGCTTCATATCTTCAGCTTAAGTTTAAAAATTTTAAAAAAATTTTATGGTTTGTAGTTAAGCTTTTAAAATGTTTAAGTATTGATATGTAAGAAATAAGATTCTGTATAATATTTTAAGGTGAAAATGCTAACACTTTTTATAAATTCATCTGTTTAGAGGTCAATCAGAAAGGGAATTAGATCTGTTTAGATATTTTTCATTAAAATTGTGAATAAAGTTAAATAAAGACCCCTTCAAAAATTTTCTTGCTACTTAAACTATTCCTTAGCCGAATCCAATATATTTAATATTAAGATTCCAATTTGTTTGTATTTCTACATTATAAAAAGTAATTTTCATAAGTGTTAAAACATTTACTTCATGCTTGAATAGCAAAAACACCTTTAAACGGAATAGAAAAAACATAGGTAAAAAAAGTGTTATGCAATTTTTTTATCCACTCTCAATAGGCAATTTTATAAGCAATTTGCTAGACTTAACTCTTACATAATTAAAAAAAAAAAATACTCAATCTTTTGCTCAATTAATTTTTCTATATTTGAAAATTTAGTTAAAATACATAAATAAGTTAAATAAATAAAAATAAAAAAATTTGTTTTTCACAGTATACTTACGTAGCTATTTTTCACAGAATTTGAACTCTTAAGAAATACCAGATTTACCTCTGTTATAGATAAAGAAAATTTCATTTTTAAAACATTTCTGTTCAGAGAATGAGATGTAATTAATTTCTTAATCAACATATGATTGCAGGTGTTTTGTTAATTGTAATTATCAAATCAGGAAATACACTAGGAGCTGGTTTTCTAAATCGAAGGGACTTCAATTTTTAATCTTAATGAGGCTCTAATTTATAATAAAAGTTGCATTTTTGTCTTGTTTACTCTGTTTATAAAACATTAAGTGAATTGATCTAGTTTTTATTGAAATCATCGCAGTCGGCATTTTTATCTAAGCTGTAATCTCAACATAATAAAATTTAATCTATCTATGGAAATTTTTATTGAAATATCAATGTATGCAATAATATTTGTTGAGTATTTAAATTGATGGTTGGTGTTTGTGTTATAAATATTCGTAATCTTTCATTGTTAAGATAGTCATCACTGTGCATTGTTTGATATTTGTAAACTGCTTTTGTATCTTCCATCCATATTAATGTTAAATGTCATCCCGATGTTCTGATCTCTAAATCATTGTTGTCTGATTGTTTCTTTTTCAGTGTCTTTTTTTTTTTAATTTGATAATGAACATCTTATTTTTAGTTTAAACTTACTACTTTTTTATTGAAGTAATTTTTTTAAAAATCAGTAATCATATCACAGAGGTTTTATGCTTGTACACAAAATGTTTCTTGGATGGATTGTTTTTAAAATGCAGGCATGTCATTATTCCTTCGATTTGCAATTTTCCTTTTTTTATTTTTTTATCCTCCAATTTTTATTTCTGAGAATGTGCCAAACATTTCCTACTGTGCACTTTTCAAAATTTATAGAAGCTTAAAAGAATCAACTTTAAATCCCTAGATGAATGAAGATGAAATTCTATACTTTTTAACTTGCTTCATAAATGGGGTCGTTAATAAAAACTTTTTCAAATGCTTCGTGTTCTGTCTTTAATCATCTATCAGAAGTAAATTCTCCCTCTAGTACCAAGTTTTTTTAAAAATATCGTAATTAATCCTTAACCAAAGGTGACCCATCCGAGACGAAACCTATATTGTTTTTTCATATTTTACAAGTTGAAATTGCATTTCCGAACAATTTACTTTGTAATCATCAATTAAGTTTTTTCTTTGAAATTACGAACTGATTGTTTCATAAATCTAATAAAATTGAATTATGTTTAATAATTATATTTTGAATTATATTTATTACTTAAATTTTGAATTATATTTATTACTTTTAAAATAATATAGTTGAAATGCTTGCAACACAAATGTAAAATTTATCCTTTTTCGTAATTAAAAAGTTGATAAATTTCATTTCAAATTCGTAAGGCACATAACGTAAAGAGAGGAACAGGAAAATACAAATTGAGAGAGTATGTGCTAAGGTTACTTAATCTGTGCATTTATATTCCATGAATGTATAATTTTACAGTGCTTTTAAAAATTCCTTTTATTAACTTTAAAGCAAATGAAGTGTCTATTTCTATTTCAAAACCGGCCACTTGACATTGTGTTACATTAGCAATAATTTTATCTATCTATATTTTATTCTTAAATTTAATATGCATAATTCTGGAAATCATATGAAAAACCTCTTTTATTCTTTGGTAAAATTGGATTTTTTGATGAAAATCACCATGTGGGTTAGGTTTTTTCATAAAAACTGATTTTATTAAACACTCCTTTAATCCTAATTTAAAGTATTATTACTTAAATCACCTGAAATTAAACTTAAATTCCTTTTTAAAATTTTTATTCTTTTTTTATATATATTTCTCGAGTTTGTGGTCTTGTGTCTGAAAATCTTTTTATAATTAGATATTTAAACATAATTATAGACTATATAATAATACTAATTAGCATTAGTCATTGACTTGTGTTAAAGCTAAAACTTATATTAAAAATATTTTAGTTTAAATTTAACAAAAATTTCTACTTTATTTAAAATTTGAATAATATTGTTGGTAGGTGTTATTAAAATTGCGCTTAATTTTTTTTTATAATATCATATATAAATTTATTTTCAAGTTTGCAGGATTAAATTTTAATTGTTCTTTTTAATAATAAAATAGAAATTCATAAGTAGCAAATAATTAAATAAATCATTTTTAAACTTTTAATAAGACTTTAATAAAAGAAAAAAAAATATATTTTTCTCTAATTATCTAATTTGTTAATATGACATATGTTAATGATTCAAAATTCCTAAACTTAATAGAAAAAATGTTATGTTAATACTCTCTATATATATTTATATATATATATTTTAATTATGCCCCTTATAACAGCTTTTGTTTTTAATCATGTGTCAAAATATTTTTTAAAAAAATAAATATCATAGTTACAATTTAAAAGAAAATTTATTTCTGCTTATTTATTGAAAAAAGTATCAAGATTTGAATTACTTGTACTATGTGTGAATTTACAGTTAATACTTTTAACATAAATAAAAAATTGCTTAAGTATTATTTGGTGTCAAAATTTTAACTTACATTTGTCATACCTTTATAAAAGCTGCCAACCTGGAACTACTGGCAGTCCATAATAATTACAATCATTACATAAAATAAGAATAATTATCAGATAGGAACTACCAGAAATCCTGGTGGAAAGGTATTTAAAATATTCTAGTCTAGCCTCAAATGAAAGCTGTAGCAGTATTTCAACTGGTAATGACTTCCTTGCTATGCATTTCCACCAGAAATGTACTTTCCCCGTGTTACTTGCTCTGCAACCTTCATAAACTGATGGACTGCGCTTGTCTAGAGAGCTCTGGCCTGTAATCTTTTCTAAGAGTTTATGGAAACACGACTGGAAAGCTGAGGACTGAATGGGCCATCTATCTTTTTTCAGTCACACTCTTGTTACTTTTTAGTTTTCCTGTTATTTGTTTTCTGGTGTCAGAATTGTCTTTTATTCACATTATTTCAAATTAAGAAAATATATAATTACAATGGCAGTGGTTTAATAACTGAGCGAACAAATATTTTTTAAGATTTTGCTGTTACTGAGATGTCCTCTACACTTGAAGGATTCTAGTTCCTCCTTGCTAACCTGTGGTGAATTATATAATTGCAATTTCATTATTTTATCTGTTCAGTTACTAAATATTTTTGAATATTTTTTTTGTTCCATTTTATTCATAAGTGCACTCTATTGAACCAAGTGAACTAAATTTTAGCGGTGTAAGTATCTTTAATGCTTGAAAGTGTTTTACAAATTTCGTAACTAGTAGATTTATTGGATATCAATAAAAAAAATTATATAAATATCAATTAGTTAAAGAAAACAAAATTTATACTTTCTGTTGGTTAACAAAGTCTGAAGCTCTTTTTTGTCTATATTTGTTTATATTCGATTCGATTATGTGCTGTGGTAGTCAAAACCATTTTTAATTAAATCTTGAAACATAAATTCAGCTTCTATTTTGAATATTTGAGAACTCCTGGGTAATAACTTGTGGATTTTACAGGTCTGCTTTATGCTTGAAATTTATATTAATTAAATTTATATGTTCTTTAATGTAATGTTTCTTTTTGTTGTTGTTATTTTTCTAACATATATTGAAATGTGTTTCAGAAATGCTGAGAAAGAATGGATTGCCGATAGAGATGCGGAGTCACCCGGTCAAGAGTGGGAAAGAATCGCTCGCCTTTGTGACTTCAACCCCAAATCATCCCGAAGTACCAAGGATACCTCTCGCATGAGGTCTATCATTCTGCAGCTTAAGCAATCGCCAATGCCACCCCGCAAATCCTCTTAATGTGCAAATTGTCTAATCTTTAATCTTTTTTGAACTTTTTTTTTCAGAGCTTAGCTCTTGGCAGTATAGATCTTCAATACGATTCACTCGTGAAAAGTAATATAAGAGCATTCCATGTAAGATATGTTGAAAATGAATTTTGATGTTTGAAAACTCATTAATCCTCAGTTCGTTTACGGAACCTGCTTTTTTTTTCCTCCTTCCCAGTTGGCATTTAATGCGCTATCATTGTGTACGTTACTTGTGAATTTTAGCATTTCCAAATACTTTTTTTCTATTTTTATTAAGCTCTGTTGGATATACTGTTTGGATTGGCATGCAAAAAAATTCTGTTAAAATTATCCTACTCATTGTTGAATTATGATTATTTATTTTGAATGTTATTTAGAAAATGTCTTTACAAAATATAATGTTAATAATAGTATTTCTTTCAGTAGAATTTGTAGCCATATATGAATAAAGTTATTGGACCGTAATAAGTCTCTTTGTCTTATTTATAATGCTGTAAATAATTAAATACTTCTAATGTTATTGTCTTAATAAAGGTGATAAAAAACAGGGTGCGTAGCGTTTGTAAAAAGTACTTAAAGGTGCTTTTTTGGGGATTTTGTTTTTAAAAGCTTTTAAAGGTGCATTTTTCAGCTGGCGTTTCTAAAAAGTGGTATTTTTTCCCGAATAATTTTTTTTCTCCCTTCAGTGATATCTGGTTGATCCCATGCAATTCACTAAAAATGGAGTGTTTGCTACGTTCACGCGGCCTTCATGTCGTACCCACGTTATGACTTGCGCATGCACGCACACTTGAAACCGAAACCTGAGTGCTCCAATTCGGATGGAGAATATCAGATCCTTATGAAATGTTTTTCTTTTTAATTTATTTTAATTTTATTATTGTTTATTTTATTTTACTTCTAACACTTTTTTGACGTAGGGGGTACGGGTACTTTTGTTCTGAGTTCAGGGTCAAGTTGAATTTACTCGATGATGTGGGAAAGTAATGATTGTTTCGATTTACGTATGTTTCTTTTTGGGTTTTTTTTTTTAAAGCTAAAACTGTTTATAAAAAGTTTTTGTTTTTCAATGATATCACTGATTGAATAAAAAATTTTTGAGTGCTTGAAAAGTTTTGTAAAGTGCTTGAAAAGTTTTTAAAAAGTGCTTATTTTTGATTCAAAGATTTGGCTATGCACCCTGAAAAAGCTTACCTTGGTGAAGAATTCGATATATTCAGAGTTTTGGTTGGAAAATGAATTCATGTAACAGGACTCCCATGGGTCAGAGAAAGCCTGGAATTGTCAGGGAATTTTATTTTGCCTCTTTAAAACGGGAATAATCGAAGAAAACTGCAATTAAAAAAAAATTTCAGAAAACTTCTACTTATCCAGTCTCAGATTTGTCAGTAACAGTAATCAGTTATTGAGATTCGATGTAAATAAATTTAACATCGATTGCAATTATTTGTTATAAAAATTTCACATTTTATTGAAATTTTTATTGACCAAACTATTGGGACCATATTTTCCAGATATATTTTGGGGTTCAGAAATCCGAACCCTAGGAAAAAAAGCTATATTTGTTCAGAGAAAGTCTGTTCTTGTGTCTGATTTCATAACTTGAAACATCATCTGCTTTTATTAATCAACGTATTTGAGTTCACCCCCCTGGAACCATTAAGATTTGAATCTTAGAATGTGAAGATCAGATCAAAAGTTATTTGGGCTGGTCCGTTTTTATTTTGCGCACTATACCTATTACGTCATGTACCATTTTAACAATTTTATGTGTTTTAGTAAGATAAATTTTTAATATACATTTTACTTTGGATTTGTTTTTAAAACTTTTGTACAGCTTGTGGACTTCAACCATTAACCCCTACATTCAATTCCGACTATCTTGTGTCAAAACGAAGTTTTTAACATTGCTAACCTAAGAAAATAATTAACTTTTTTTTCTTCATATTTATGTTTACAAAAACATTTTGGTAAAAATAAATTAAGCATATGAAACGATCTATTAAATATAAAAATTGGAGTACAACAGTAATGTAGACAAGATTTTGGATTTTTTTTCCTCCAAAAATTGAGTCACCATATTTTTTTCTTCCCAGAACATATATTAACTTCCGAAGATGCTAATTTGCCCTGCTTTGTGAAAAGATATTTTCCATTTGTTGAAAAATCGTTTTAATATTTTAAAAAGTACTGATATTGCCCACCAGTACATAAAAATAATTTTGACGTACAATTTATTTTGGAAAATACAGGAATGAGTTTTTTCCACTTTTTATCAGATTTCCGCCTTTCATTTTTTTTTCAAATTTCGAAAGCAAATGAAATAAAAGCGGTGGATTTGCAGTGAAAATATTTATTTGCTCATTCAATTAATCTTGCAAATTTTTATTTATTATTGCTGAACAAAAACAAGCCATTTAGAAATTCCTAGTACAGAATGTGCTAATATCTTGATGTATATCTATGTATAATACTAATAGTTTGCTCTCCTGTACTTATTAAACCAAATGCAATGTCACATGTCATTCGCGAGTCACAGTTTGCCGCTCACGGTTTTAACCCACCAATGCCAACCACAAACCGCAGAAAGTACCACAGTAGTTGCAGTTAAAAAGAAGCCTGATTGGTGATACCAAGTGACTTTAAGGCAGAGGGTTCGTTTTTTGTTGTTTTACAGTGACACCATCTATGCCCAAAAATACGACTTCAGCCACACACTCGTTAAAGCCCGTTTATGGGATCGTGGGCCCATTCATACATCCATCATCCACAGATCGTAGTTTCGACCTGAATCAGAGAACGATTAATCTCTAATTCGATACCCCAGAGGTACAATTTGTTATAGGAACATGGAGGACTTGGTAACCCAACAGATTTAGCGTGCACCAATCACCATTTACTACACGGAAAGTCTTCTTCCGGTGGGGATCGAACTCACGACGTTGTGAACGTTGGTCCAACGCTCTAGCAACCAGGCTATCCCTGCCCTACTAGATTTACGTGAGTGATTTAAGAGGACTATATCACGAGAGAAATGCATCCTGGCACATTCTCTTTCATCTGCATGGTGAATTTAAAGTAGAGAAAAAAATGAGCTCAGGTAAGCTACGAAATTACAACTGATGAAAGAAAAACATTTTCATACTATCAAAATGCAAACAAATGACAGGATTGCGCCAAAGAGTGAATCTAAATGACCGTTAGATTTCTGTCAAATGGCGAAATTGGTGCTTAAACATTTCATTTAAAATGATTTTGACCATAATGACATTTAAGTTATAAACAACTCAACGATAGAATTAAAAGACCTGAGATCTACACGCTTCATAAGAATACTTCGGTATACTTGGAGTTGCAAATGAATCAAGCAGAAAAACATCCATTTCTATGATTTTATTTGTTCTTTATTCACATTGTTTTGATTTCTTTGCATCGCATGCTTTACATTAAGGAGTATGCGAAATTTTATGTAGAATAAATTTATTATTATTTTATTACATGTTAACATTTTAAAAGCGTTAGCCCATAAAATGCGCGCTGAAGTTATAATATTAAACCTTTAGAATCAGTATACTGCCGTGCAATTAAGAAAATAACATACGTTTTTCACAATAGGTTTTCGAGAAACGTGACTTGACAAGTATTTTCTTTTCCTTGCCAATACTGCAGTAATACTTGCTTTAAAACAGAATTTCAGAAAAGTATTAAGAGAAATTGATTTCCGAAACTTGCAAAAAAGTATAGCTTATTATAGAAAAATAACGAATACATAAAAATCTTCATTTAAAATTTTTGTCGTTCTCGTTGATTTTTTTTATTTGAAATCATACACGTTTTCAAAAACTCGCATTATGAACAGCGTATGTTTGTGTAGTTAAAATGAACATTCTGAATCAGTCACTATACATGTTTTCAAGAAAGTTCTTTCATCAGCATTTCAATTCCACGCTATACGAAAAGTGTATAAGAATATTTATGTAGTTATAATAAACCAGGTAATACTGTAAGCATGTTCTCAAACAATTTGTTAGTATGAAACATTTCAATACTATGCAATTCGAAAAGCGTATTCAGTATATTTACCAAATGCAGTAAACATGTTTTCCAAAAAACTGTTTTTCACAGCATTCAATACCACGCAATACGAAAATTTTGTGTAATTATAATAAATATTCTAATTTAGTATACATATTATCGTTTTCAAAAAGTTGTATCGGTTCCAAAAAAGTGTTTCAAAAGTAGCAATTTTATACTACGCAGACACATTACGGAAAACATATAAGCGTATTTGTATAGCTAAAATAAATCTAATTTATAATACATGTTTTCAAAAACGTTTCTCAGTAGCATTTAAATACCACGCAATACGAAAAACGCATAAGCATATTTATTAAAAAGTTGCGTAATTGTAAGAGAAATAACATGACGCAATGAAATTTATCACTTGATTAAGCATCTTTTTTTCTACAAATCTTAGGTGTTAGGAATGATAATGAACAACGCTTAGAAACGTTTAAGAAAAAATAAATGCCTAACCTCGTGACACATTTGTTTTCCAATTATAGTTTTATTTTCTAAAAATAATCACGTTTTATTTGTTTCAGCGAAAAAGAGAGAAAGGAACTTTTTTTGGTAATATAAATATGTGCACAGAATATATAAAAATTAAGTCAGCTGTTTCTGTTACACACATGTTAAGTTTTACGAATTTCTTCGTCGACATTTCGACATTAATTATTCTATTATTAAACGTTAGTAGCAAAACTTAACTGACAGTTAAAATTGAATTCTTAATTGAATCTAAAAAAAATTCACTTGATGGCAATTTTTTTTCTGACATAAAATAGTTGCACCACCGAAGATTTATTCTATTATTTTTCTCTCATTTTCCAAGCATTGTTCCACAAATTGTGATTTTTTTTACATTACCTTAAAATTATGTATTATTAGTTTGGAATATAAAATAAATAAATATAGCACAAATAGTTTTTATTATTATTCAAAAAAGGATTCAGTAGAAGTTAATCGAAGAAATATATCTACTTGATAAAAATATAAATTTTCTTCTACTTTTTTTAATATGAAATGATTTTTTTCCCCTTGCGCTTTTTGGATATATTATTTGGTGAAGATATATATCAAAATTATTTTATTTATTTATTATATTCAACTCCGTAGTCTTGTAATTTTTAACCAAACCCAGAATGCAAGGGAACGCCTAGATCAAGCATTAGGACAAACTAAAAATTTGTGATTGAACTAAACGACATATGTTTTACATGCAGAGGAAAACCACGAAAATCTAGCACGTTTTGCCTGGTGCCTATAAGATTCCAGCCCATGATCCGTAGAATAATTTTTGTACAATTTTATCTCATTTCAAATGATAAGCAAATTCACAAAAATACTTTTTTTAATCTAAAAAAAGTCAGTTTTGCACTTTTGAATTAAAATTGAATTTAAGAATCATTGGTACAAGATCCGGGATAAGCTATACTGCGCTAAATGTGAAGAGAATTACGCTTCTTACGCAAGATTATCAACGGTTCTATTAACTAAATCTGATACGAGAAATCCTAAAAAAAGTGGAAAGATCTCTGCCTTTTTTTTGGGATCGTGGAATCTTTGCTTATCTGAATAATATAAAAACTAAAGACCAACCTAACGCAGTATAATTTTCTTCAAAAAAATAATTTATTTTATTTATTTATTTTTATTATTCATTTAAATAAATACTGAACGGAAATAATGAAATGTATGTACTAGAAANCAATTCGTAATGTGGTATGTATTACCTAGTCATTTATTATCCAATCGAATCTTCTTGCCTTTTATTTAAAAATATTTTTAATAATTTAAACAGAATTAACTCTTTAAAAGTATTTTATTTATATTTCACCGCTGATGACGAGTTTAAAATATTAAAAATTCGAGTAAGGAGTGCCAAAAAAAGAATTTCGAAGAAGAAAAAAAAAAGAAAACTAAATTAAAAAAATTTTTTTTTTGTAATGCGATTTATTTGGGTAGATGAATCACATTTGTAAGATGAATCACATTTGTACTTCGAGAAAAAACACGTTTTTAAAGTTAGTTTCAAATTTTTTTATATCAAATTACAAGAATTTAAGTTGAAATTGCATGAAATTGAACATTTTTTTTTAATGATGCTAAGGCCTACTCTTGCACACCTGCACACGGTGAATAGTAAAAAATTTCTTCTCTTAGCTACCATTTTAATATAAAAAATATCCTAGCTACTTTTAGTCCTGCAGTGGACTGATCGTTAAAACACGGTTCCCAGCAGGTCTCCAAAGTCAGCGTGCGGGTCAGCAGGCTGCGGTCAACGTGTGGGTGGGCGAACACTTGGATCAGTCTGTGTAGGAACCGAGGGTTTGCGATATTGGTCTTCGTTAAACTGTTCTACCGTAAAGTGCTCGACTTCACGTGCAGGTCGTCGGGCTACCGAAGCGGGGTTGCCATACCCTCTGCAGAGAATCAAAATTGTAATGGCATGTCTTCGGATCATCTTCAGGGATGTTTCCCAAACAGTCGCCAATAGCCCATTGTGCATTTCCATAGTGCAACGTAAGTGAACTACAACAACAACCCAGCTACTTCATTACAAACGTAAAACTAGATCTTAATTTTAATAATGTATTCTATTGTGCAGAGACTAGCTTTATTTCTTAGACTAATGTTTATAACTAAAATTTTCGTAGCACTTTTTACTTTTTGAGCTATTTGGTACATTCAAATAGCATCAGATCTTAAAGGGATAAACGATAATGATGTAGTATCTTAATGTGGCGTAACTACCACTACAAATATTAAATACCAAATCACTAGTATATAGGACATGTTAACTCGATTCTATCTTGAGGTACCTTTTGACAGATGAAGGTTGGCATAGTCTAATATTAAACTCCCCTCATTGGTGACCCGGACGTGATATGAACTAGCCAACATTGATGGATGGTTCACATTAAACAGTTGATTTGCTTAAAAATATACTGCTCAAAGAAAAAAAAATCCGGTGAAGTAAATAAAGTCTCCCGGTCAATAAACAATATTGAAAGGAAAAAAATGAGCGAAATGCTATAAACAAAAATAAGAAAAATAATAAGCAAAATGCTATAAAAAATGAAGAAAAAAATATAATGAGCGAAAATGTTATAAATATATAAACAGCATTAATCAACTAGTGGTAATCGTTCATCGAATTCTATCACAGATAAAATTTTAAAAGGGGAGTAATGTGGCGTAACTACCACTACAAATATTAAATACCAAATCACTAGTATATAGAACATGTTAACTCGATTCTATCTTGAGGACCCTTTTGATAGATGAAAGTTGGCATAGTCTAAGATTAATCTCCCCTCTTTAAAAATAATATCCCCCATCGGCATTGTCGTAAGTTTACCAACACTTAGTTTAAAATATTTAAGTTTTCGATTACTACTTTAATCTCTTTTATTTTCCTAAACCATGTCAAAAAAATTCCTTTTTTTAAATTTTTAATAGGAATAAGTTATATTTGAAATTGGCCTTGATGTGCTAGCTAAAACGAAAAACTATTCCTTACATTTCCTCAATATTTTGTAGTTTATTTCTTTTTTTTTTCTTTCTCAGCAATGATTAATTAAAGCATATGCTTAATTAATCACAAAGCATTTGCTTAAAGCATATTCTATTAATTATAAATTGTATAATTTATAAGGATAACAATTATTTTGTCTCAATTTCTAAAAGGTTTCGTTTCTCGATTTTGAGGGTTTTTTTTTCTCTAACGAAAAAATTATATCTTAATTTACCAACAACGAATTTTAATAATGTTGGTGAGTTTATTTAAATTCTAGATTCACGATAAAATCGTCATAATTATTGTATGGAAATTGTTTACAAACTAAAAAGAACTGGAGTTTTTTTTATACGCTGCATAATGTGGCATTGCGCATCATAAAATTTTTTTTTCTTTGTACCTGACATTATTTTCCTTTTTCACCTACTCTCAACCATAGAGTCTCAACAGGTAACGTAATCCAAGAAAAAAAATATAAATTTCTGACTTCATTTGTCATTTCAAGGTTTTCCAGTTTTTTTCATTCTTAGATCCACATCACGATTCCATTCTTTCCGCCGTGCATTCAACTTCTTTCGACACTACAAGAAAGTGATTTTTCGAACGGTAGGATTTTTGATCGTGGTGCGCATTGACCCTCTCAGTCCGTTTGTTGTTATGGTCAACAGGTGACGTCAACGCCTCGCGCTGGCATGGCGGTTCAATGTAAAAAGTGAATGAAGTATCTATCATATGTTCTGCTCTAGTTATTAACAACTAAACTATGGAAGTGTGATATAATTCATAAGAATCTCAAACATGGAAATCAATCCGGACTTTGATGCCGGAGAAGTTGCGCGAACTGTTGCGCTAGCTGTCACTAATCTACACAGTCGAAATTTATCATCTGACAGCGGTAACGATGAAACACCTCTAGTCCGAAATCGTGAACATAGTATTAATACAAACATGGATAATGAAGATAAAACTAAATTAGTGTCTTCTCAAAGCTCAGGATGGAAAGGTAAATAAACGTACATGAGTACATAAGTCACATATATATAAAAACACCGTTCTACAGTTATTGTTATAAATATCTACATTACACCTATGTTTTGGTTTATACATACATTTTCATATCTATATTCTATCAAAACGTATGATGTATTTTTGTTTATGATGTATATTTACTATTTTACAAAGTTTAGTTGATGTTTTCTTGTTACCATATGTTTTCTAAAAACACCCTCTAACTTCCTATTTTCCCTTGAAAAACAGTGCAAGGCATGCTCTTATTTTTTAGTTGGTTGAGTAGTTTCGTATTTTAAATTGATTTAAGTAGTTGGTTTATTTTTTACAAAGTGTTCAGTTTCAATATTTTAACTGTGGTATTTTTGGGCATGATTTTTTTCACTTCTAAAATGCCCAATTTTTTTTATTTATTTTATTTACATATATTTATATGCAGTTAAACTTCCTTCAAAGACTGCCTCAAGACAATGGAAACCTCTGATGAATGACCATATGTTTATGGTTCCAAAACTTTTCCATAGGATTTACACTACAGGGAACCTTTAAATCAATGATTTCTGATTAAAGGGCACTCCTTGCTGCTAGCATGAGTTGTATATCATGGTAGTCAACTTTTTTCCATTTTTTCATCTTTGGTCTGCAATATTTTAACTCATTATTACTAAACATAGCTTTTACCATCTTTTATTTACATTTAAATCATTGTTAGAAATTTTTAAGTATTTATAAAATAGAGAATCATAGATTGGGCAATTCATTTGCACCTACTATAGATAAACAGCATCCATCAAGGGTGGTCAGCAGGAATTGCAGAAATTTTGTTCTTTTCATTTTCTATTGAAATTGTTAAGCATTCACGCAAAAGTCAATCATAATTTCGTCAGTTCATATCACAAATGAAGTGCATTCCTCATGTCTGATCTTCCAGAATTACAGGTATCTTGTTCTTTTAACGTAGACAATTCGTAATGTGTCATCTGCCAGATTTCAATTCATGTAGTTGGTAATAATAGTATGAATGTAAAGAAGTTAGCTATAACTTTAGTCATCGTTTGTGTATTATGCATTTTTAAAAAAAATTTTTTTTAAATTTTTGTTTTTTGGTGCTGTATGATAATTATTTTTTAACAACCAATTCATTTATAACTAACTCTGAATGGCAGCTACCTCTTAACACCAGTCATAGTTCCAGTCATAGATACAGCATAGTTCCGCCAGGGACTCTTGTCCAGTGGTTATACTGTATATATATATATATACAGTCAGACCTCAATATAAGGTCATCCGCATATAAGGTCACCCCGCATATAAGGTCACTTTTCCAATGTCCCGGCTCACTGAATAGGAATTCCTTGTTGCAGATTATCGGATATATATGGCCAAGTTTTAAAAATCGTTATCGCTTATAAGGTCATTTTTATCTGAGGTGAGGCGAGCTCTTTTATAACAAAAGCCTATTTAACTTCCTTACAAGGCAATTACCCCTCTCGAGTTCTAGGAAAATGTTGCAGCCAACGAACAAGCTGCAATTTCTGAAATTGTTTCACAAGTTGTGGACAGTGAGGACAATGACAGTGACCCTGAGATTGTAGCTGTAACCCAAGTGGAAGCGTTCAATGCAACAAATGTCACACGAAATTGTTTTACAAACCATGAGGGAGCTGAGGAACATTTTGAGAAGTTACAAAATCTAGAAAGAATTGTTCGAAAAATGAAACCAAAAACGAGACAGACCAGCATAAATGATTATTTTAAATAAGGTAAGATGTAATGTATGTATGTACACTTTGAGAAAATTTGTAAACAGCTTTATTTTAATTTTAAAAAATTTAAAAATCTAACTTTCTATAATTCGCTACTAATTCTGTTAAAATTTATTTACTTAAATAGATAATTTATGGCCGATCGTTTTCGTTTGTATTACCATTTCTAAAAAATCATAGTGTGTACTATTTACGTGCTTAGTTACGAACTGCTAATGAATCGGTTAAAAGGTCACCCCTCTTATAAGGTCACTTTTGCGATGTCCCTTAGGGTGACCTTATATCGAGGTCTGACTGTCTATATATAGACTTAGATAAAATGAAAAACTTTCTGTGCGCACTGATTAACTCTTGTAACTAGTGTCAACCATTTTTTCGCACCCTCATTTTGACAAAATTCGTCTGAAAATCTTGGATTTTTTTTTAAAATGTTACATTTTTATAGAACTCTTATATATAGTCATACTACAGGAATGAGTTTGGTAGCAAACCAAAAAAGCTGAAGATAGAAATTCAAAAATGTGCCAAGCAAAAACATTTCTTAAATAATTGAAAAATACCTGAAATTTGAGCAAGAAAAAATTGTAAGTATGAAGCATTTATCCACAAAATGTTATCAATGTTTTAATAAAATTGTTGATGCAAGATTTTGAGATGTGCTCATCGGGGTGAGGTGAAGTGATGGAGGGGGAATTAAGGGAAGATTTGGTAGCAGTTTTCATCATAACAGTTAAAGCTTGGTCGAAATAGACATTTATTTTTTAAATTTAGACACAATAAAATTATCTATTTTTCTTAATTTTGAATTTCATTACTCAAATATTGAGTAAAAAATCATAATATTAGAAGGGGCTGTGCCTCAAAATCTATAAAACGTGAGGGGGCTAAGGTCCCCTCTCCCGGTTTCCCGGTCCCTGTGGGCAGATATAGACCAAAAGTTTAGGTACTTATCAGTTATCTGGGTACAAGATAAAAATCCTTGTATCAAAATGGTCACTAAGTTTTTAAGCAGTAAGTAAGGTAATTATTATTTAGTTAATAATAATAAATTAAGTTCTGTGTTCTGTATATTTAATTTAATTTGTGTTAATTAATTGTTGTGTTGTTATATATGGCTTTATTGGAAATATTAATCCATATACAATGTTCAGCTTTGAGTGGACATAAACAAGGAGTAAAAAGGAACAAAATTACCTTCACAAACAAAGAAAACACATGACAAATGCATAATTAACACAAAATTAATTGTAATAAACACAAAAGTCAACCTGTGTTAAATCAGTTACAGGCTAATGCAATGACACAACTCGACAATTTTTTTCAGGTGTTTTCTGGTACCTAGCTAATTGTATCAACAATTTTGATAGATTTTTGGTTTTCTCAAAACAGTATAAAAAATACCTTATATTCATTATATTTTTGCTTTCAAATATCTTTTATTTTTCACTGCTTAATTTTTAAATGTTATAATCTAACATAAGAAGTGCTTAAAATGAGCTATTAAAAATCTAGTCAATATTAACTAGCCACAGTTTATGCTTATTCGTGTTTTAAGCATCTAGAAACTTGTGGTTTAATTATCAAAATATTAAAATTTGTTTCTATTTCTTTCAGATTATTTCAAAAATATTCCTGCTCGCCATGTTTTAACGATTCTGGGATTTCTTGGATTTTGCAATGTCTATGCTTTAAGGGTCAATTTAAGTGTTGCTATGGTGGCAATGGTTAATATAGATACCAATACAACTGTTGTTAGTGAATGTTCTGTTGGACCATTAAATGATACTCATAAAATAAAGGTAAGGGTGCTTTGACTTTAAATTATTGAACTTGTTTGATTGGTATTTTTATTGTTAAATATAAACCATTAGGGTAAAAATCTTCCCCGAATTCACAATTTACTGCTTTTTGTATATTTCTTTGATTCCATTTTTTTTTAAATGTCTAATTTCTACTTTTTTATTATTATTCATTTCTGAAGATGGTAGGTTGGTACTTTATTTACGTCGCACAAGGGGCAATTGGCGTAGGTCTGGGAAATGTCCCTAAAGATTATCCGAAGACATGCCATCACAATTTTGATCGCCTGCAGATGTTATAGCTTACCTGCTTTGGTAGCCAGACGACCTGTGCTAGAAGTTTAGCACTCAATGGTACAACAGCTTAACGAAGACCTAAACTATGCACCCTTGGGCCGACACAGGCTGATCAAAGTGGTCACCCACTAGCTGACTAACCGCAGCCAGCAATGCTTGACTTCAGTGTTCTACTGGGAACCGTGTTTTTACGATCAGTTTACTGTGGGACGCTTCTGAAGATGTAAAACCATGTTTCTCCCCATCGGAAAACCAGTATGGGGAATGAACAGGAAATGAGATTCCAATATCTGTGTCTTAATTGTGAGTTATCATATGTATGATGGGGGTGGTTAGTCTAATTTAGTGGTTAGTGGAGGTAGCATCATCATAGTTTTAAGCATATAATAGCCTATACATTTTGGATATTTATCCGCAGAAAAATAAATAAAATCATTTAGGAAACATTTATTTATTATGTAAATCTTATTATAATGAACATAGAGCCACATTCCTAAATTATGAAATAAGAAAGTCTCTTAAATGGATCAAGCGATTCATTCTTGTTTTCTCATCAAGAAAATCATTAAACAACGCTCGACAAACAATGAGGGCCTAAGCCTCCAGTACTAATGCAAAGAATTCAAAATTAAAAGTAAGTGAATTGTTTCCAATGGACAGTTACGAGCATGGGAAGAGATCCATGGTCTGAGGTTTATCGAAAGAGAAAATCGCCAAAAACAAAGCCAACCCAACATTAAATTTGAAAATAATTTGGCTACGGCTAATTTCCAAAAAGACTGTGAGAATTAGTATAACCATGTAACTTTAAAATTTTTGAGGTAAGTGATAGAGGATAAAGAGTTATAAATAGATTTTGTTCTTTGACAGTGAATTAATGAGTTTTACATTTGTTTTAAAATAAAAAGTTAGCTGTTACATTGATTGTAAAGAAAAGAATTAAATATTTATACTAGCTTTTTGTAAAATGTAATAAAAATTAAATAATTGGTTTAATTTAATTAAAATTCGATTAAGAATGATTTAAAAAAAATAAATTTAAGAAACTTCAAAAGCTAGGAAATATGTAATGCCTATTATGCCTATGATGTGTATAAAAAAAAAAATAATAATTTGGAATGAAAAAAATTTATGTGAATCTCTTTAATTAATCGCTAAGGATGATTCACTTTCATGAAATTGTAACTTATGTATGTAGCATACTTTTTGCATTTTTTTTGTAAGGTTAATTATTTTTATTTATTTATAATTTCTTTCTTTATTTTTGTTATGAATAAATTATTTATTAATGGAAACTTATCTTTTCTTTAATGTTTATCACTAGTTGCTTAAAAATCTAGTCACTCAATTAAATATTTTTCTTTTTTTGCATCTCTGCTGTTTTCCCACCTGATAAAAATGGGAGTTATTGTCAAAATTAAGTCTATAATCATATACTTGCATAGGAGATATACTATTATTGAGCAATTATTTTACGATTTAGGACAGTATTTATTCATTAGTTTTGTTACTTTGATTCCAGTTACTAATGAATGATTAAGTTCGATATAAGAATTATATTAATAAATGATAATTTAAAGACAAGCTGACATAATAAATGACTGCAACGTAATAAATGAAATGATTTGAGCAAGTTTGATTTTATAAAGTGCTAGAGTTTTAGTGGCAATACTTCCACAGACATGATATTCTTTTGTTACTGAATTGTATTAACAAGTATGTATTTTACTTAATCACTCTTGATGTGTTATGATTTTCTTTTAGTATACTTTAAGTTTTTTTTCACTTACTTATTTTTTTATTCTTATTTTCTCCGAAACTTGACTGTAACTAGCATAACTTGCTTAAAATTATTGGGTACTTATAACCAGGGATGTAGAAAATTCTAAGAGCCTAATATTTCGTTAGAGCACAGTTTTTATAGTATAAAATTTCCTTCAATATAGTGCTTTATTTTTTTTTTAGTTGCAATAACTTTTTCGAAATACTTTTAGATTAAAATTTTACATTTTTTTTGTAAGGAAGAAAAAAAATATTCTTTTGATTTTGCAAGGTTCTTGAATAAATTAGCATATATGTTTAAAATAATTGAAATTAAAATATATTGAAATAATAATTTATGAACCTAATTTTAAGGTTCTACTCATAAACTTCTAAATTCAAACTACTATTAAGTAAATAAATTGACTTATAAAGTCATTTGTGTTACATATTCTTTCAAAACTTTAGTCAACATGTATTATTTTCTATTCCATTTTTTTACAATAAAAATTTTTTTTGCAATAGACTAAAACTTTGCTCATAGACCCTGCTTATAACTTGTTTGGGCATAACGACTCATCAACCATTTTTATCAGTTATATACAGCTTAATTATTTATATATTTTTATAAAAATTTTGCAACTAAGAATCTATCCTTATATGCTTAAGGAATAATTTAATGTAAAATTTAAGGCTTTTTTTATTTTTTATCTTGGCCTAATTTTGGCTTTTTTAAAAATATTTTTTAGTTACAATAATTTTTTCAATATAGTTTTAGAATACTTTTATCATTAAAATTTTGTTATATTTTTTTCTCTTACATAGAAAAAAATTCACTTGATTTAACGCAATTCTTGAATAACTCAGCATGTTTAAAATAATTAAAACCAAACTATATTGAAGTAATAATTTATTAAACTAAATTTAAGATTCTGCTCACAAATTTAAGGAATTCAAACTAATAAGGAAAGAAATTGAATCATAAAGTCATTTGTGTTATATATTGTTATTCCAAAACTTTTTTCTACAGGTATTATTTTCTATTCCATTTTTTATATTTTTTTTTCATTGAGAAAAACTTGATGAAGTTTTGAAATTTTTTTTTCAATAAAAAATTTTGTAGCATTTTTTTGCAATAGACTAAAACTTTGCTTATAGACCCTGCTTATAATTTGTTTGGGCATAGAAACTTATCAACAATTTTTATCAGTTATATACAACTTAATTATTTATATATTTTTTCCATATAATTTTGCAACCAAAAATCTGTTAATCCTTATATGCTTAAGAAATAATTTAATGAAAAATGTAAAGCTTTTTTTATCTTGGCCTAGCTATGGCTTTTTTTAATATATATATATTTTAAATTTTTTATAACCGTCGTTGAACAGCCGACAAAATTTTTTGGGTTTACGACATCTAATGTTCAACTCCGTAGCCCTGTAATTTTAAACCCTTTCCAGAAGACAAGGGAACTTCCGGATCGAGTATTGGAGAAATTTGCCTTCGTGGAGATTTCTTTGGAGGAACTTATCCGCTGTTGCGTGACATGCAAAGGAAGACCACGAGAACCTCCCAGGGTTAGCCTGACAGCAAGGGGATTCTAACCCATGATCCATCTACCTCTGAGGATATTTCACGTCAGCACTGCGGTTGGTGCAAGCCGGACACGGAATTCGTATCGACTGGGGTTCGAACCCGGTTCGCTTCATTGGAAGGCGAACACTCTATCCCCTGAGCCATAAGCGACTCGCCTTTTTCTTCTTCTTTTTTTATATTTGCTTAAACTATTATATCTGAATAAAATTATTTTTCAGGATGGTGAATTTAAATGGGATTCCAATACCCAAGGAACGATCTTAGGCTCTTTCTTCTATGGGTATTTACTCACTCAAGTTCCTGGTGGACGAATGGCCGAAAAATTTGGTGGAAAATGGCTATTTGGGTTAGGAGTACTTTGCACCTCTGTTTTAACATTGCTGACGCCCATAGCTGCCAGATGGGGTGTTGTGCCCCTTATTGTTTTGAGAGTTTGTGAAGGACTCGGAGAGGTAAGGTGGGTGTTAATAATCTCTAAAATTTGGTATTTTCAGCTTATCAAAATTAAGGATTCATAGAACTGGTTATTTCAGCATCTATACAGATTATTTCATTTATAAGGAATCGGAAGAATAAGTAAAAAAGTTTAAATTACAACCGCATAATAATTCTCATAAATTTTGGAAATGAGTATGTTTTGCTGTGTAAAACCATCAGTTTATTCAATATTTTTACTACAAATAAAAATAATGAATAATAAGGACAAATATTTCTCAGCTACAGGAAAATTTTATGTTTACTGCAAGATAAAATGAATTGCCCCCATACGGTTTATTCCTTTTATAGGGAATAAGAAAAATTAAGTAAAAAGTTTTAAAATACTGCAGCATAATACAGGGTGCGTATCGTTTTTAAAAAGTGCTTAAAATTGCTTATTTTTTATTATCGTTTTTTAAAAGCTCTTAAAGGTGCTTTTTTCATTGGTTGTTTTTAAAAAGTGCTTAATTTTCCCTTTACCCTGTTGATTTTAACATGCAAAAAGACACTGTTCATACTGTTCTATTCAATGTTTTCACAATTAATTCAACCCCAATCTATTTCGGCGTACCATCGGTTCTTAGCGTATGAAAACGCCATTAGTTTTATGATTCAAAATTTCATGATTTTTGACAATTGTCAAAAACTTTTCCTTGCAAAACTAAAGTTTTTTTTTTGACATGACGGTTAAATCCGGATTAAACCGTCAATTGTCAAAAACTTGCCAACCCTGCCTACTTATATATATATATTTTTAAAGTGCTTAAAAATATTTTTGAGTGCTTGAAAAGTGCTTAGAAGGTGCTTATTTTTTGTCGAAAAATTTGGCTACGCACCCTGTAATAGCTTTCATAAATCTTTGAAGTGAATGATACTCTACCGTGCTAAGCCAGCAGTTTTACTCAGTAATGCTAGTATTAATAAAAATATTAAATTAAGACAAATATTTCTCAGCTACAGGAAAACTCTACTTTTATTACTTTTACCCTGTTAAAAGTTTAAATGGACACATTTTTTTGTGCTTAAGCAAATTTTTTATAAATTAAGAACCAAATGTTTTTCTTTTATTTTAGAAAATTTTATCCAAATGATTTAAGGTGAAATAAAAAAAAAAATAAAAACTTTGAGAAGCCTGTAGAAATTTTTTTGAGGCCAGCATATTATTAAAGGGAAAGTAGAATATTTACTTTATCGAATTCATTTTTGTAAAACCAAACGCTTGTGCATGCTGGTTTTCAAAGCTAGTGGTATGCAGAAATGGGAGATTTGGAGTTTTTATTGTAAGAAGTAAAATAGTGTAAGGAACAAATAGTGTGAGGACAATAGTGTAAGGAAACACAAGTAATATAATTATTTTATGTATTTTATTCCTTCTGAGTTATTCAATTATTCTTGATAGTAAATCAGTAGGAAACATTCACATTGTATTTACATAGCTGCAAACTCTATTGGATTTACCAGTTGACTACTGTTTCACCTGGTCTACTGGTTTAATAAAAATTCTCCTGGTTTTTTGTACATTTTAAAATATTCCCTAAAATTGAGTAAGTTTCCTAAAAAAATCCCTGTTAAAGTAGAATTTTTACATAATTTATTGCTTGCTTGAATATTTAAATAAGTATGACTAATACAAAATGAACCAAGCCTCATTTATAATAATCATTTTAAAGCTTTTTTTTTTTTCAGTTTGTTTTTATTTAGAACTCGGTTTTTAAATTAAAAAATTCTTTTAACCATCAATATTAAATTACTTGTCCATAACTATTCAAAATTATGATTTAATATAATAAAAAAGACATTTCATGTTCATTTAATGTCGTTTATAAATGAAAAGTATTACAAAACATTTGCAGTTATAAGTGTAATAAAGTTTTGTATTTTGATGACAAAAAAAATCCCTAAAATTCCCTATATGTATAATATTGAGTATATTATGCAACAGTTATCATGAAATATATATTATTTCATAAAATCTTCTGGATTTTTCCCTGTGTTGTTGACAGCTATGTATTTATATTAAAAAAGATTCAGTTCTGATGTTTTTACTTCAAATTAAAATGATTTAATTAAAAAAAAACTTATTTGTAGGGTGTTACATTTCCTGCAATGCACGCTATGTTAGGTACTTGGTTACCGAAAATGGAACGAAGTCTTTTAGGCACCATAATATACAGTGGTGCCCAGATTGGAACAGTCATTTCAATGCCAATATCTGGGCTGCTTTGTGATTCAGATTTCCTTGGAGGATGGCCATCTGTTTTCTATGTGTTTGGTGTGTTTTTATCTCTTCCTTCTCATGTATTCTGCTTTTATTTTACATTTATAAATGATAATTTATTTTTGATTTTTAAACCAACTTTTTTTTATTAACTTTTTGATTGAAATATTTTTTATTTTGTAGGTACCCTTGGTTGTATATGGACCATATTTTGGGGCATTTTGATCTATGAAACGCCTGACGTTCATCCTCGAATCTCAAGAGCTGAACTATTACTTATTCAAGCTGACAGAAGTGATGACAGTCAGAAAAAAAATGTAAATATATTTTTGCATTCACTTTTTTTTTAATGATAGAATTATACATTCAAGGATTTCTATTATAATAAAATTTTTATCATGACAAATCTGATCTTGTCACATTATTTTTTACTTTCTTGGTTTAAATAATTGTTCTTTTATTGTCTTGAAAATACAGTCAGACCTCTATTTAACGAAGTTGCTAAATCCTGACAATAAGTTCGTTATATGGAAAATTCGTTAAATAGAAAATCACTTTTTGAAATACTTAAACACAAAACAGGTTTTAAATTCATAAACACTAGACACAGTTAAAATGCCAATTGATGCACCTTTATCTTGTAAGCTAGTATCTACTATTTATATTATAAATCTTAGTTATAAAAGAAATTTGCATGGAAAACAAGAATAGAGCAAAACATTGTCCAGTAGTACACTATCATGCTACATAATTTTAAACTAAAAAAAAAGCTAAATTTATGTATAATATTATAGCTGCATTTATTTGCTGCATAAAATTATAACTGCAAAGTAATTTTAAACCTACATTACCATATGAGTTCTTAAGTTTAATTGCTACTGATAAAATCTGTTAGTTTTGTCTGAGTTTTTCGTTTGAATTGCAAACAAAAAGGAATTTTACTGTTTTCTCTAAAAGTGGCTTCAAAAATCAATTCAAGGTCATTTTCCCCATAAAATGCGATAACAAGTTTAAAATGTTCTGAAATATTGGGAAATAGGAAAAGTAGATAGCAAAGAAAATTTCGTTAAATAGAAAATTCACTTCGCAATTTGGAAGTTATTTTACGAAGAAATTTTCAAAATGTTCCTGGTTCCTCAAAAAAACTCGCAAAATGGAAGTTCGTTAAATAGAAGTCCGTCTGTAATTTTCTAATTTTTAGAATTTGCACTTCTTTGTTAAATTTGATTTTGTCTTATTCTTATTCTCTATTTTTTTTATATGAGTATACATATTGTTTTTGGATTTTATTTCAATAGACTTTTTTATGAAAGAATTACAATTTATTGCTTTTTTTTTAGCATTTTATAATTACTTTGCAGCTTTTCATAAAAATTAACACATTTATCATCAAATTTTTAACTAATAATATGTATATAACCTGGTTTATATGTATACCTTCACCAAATTTTTAACTCTAATAAACATGTGGGGGCGGAGTTATCGACAATACCAACCTTCATATATCAAAAGGTACCTCGTGATTGAATCAAGTTTGGACTTGGATATGTGATTTGCCGAAGTACCTGCCCACGGATGCGGGCACCTCTCTTCTTCATCTGTTTACTGGCCCTAGGGCAATTGAGACTAGTGGCTTTGGTTCAGGGAAAAGAAATATCAGTTTACTAACATTGGTTAGCTATCTATAAAGTTAATTACTGGAAGGTCCCTAGAGTCATTAGCATGTTAAAAAAAATGAATTGAAAAAATATGTACAAGATTATTTACATGATTGAAAAATAAGGAAAATTAAAATATAATATATTTACAATATTTACATATTGGCAATGTTTATATATCATGATATTTGTATTAATTAGTGTGAGCCTCTGTTATAACAATGACCCGGTCGTCCCGGTAAACGACCGCTCGTACCGGGTTGCTCATCGTTTTAAGTTTAATAGACCTACAGCTTGCCTGGATGGGACCCTACAGGGTTGCTCCTTCAACGGGTTTGCCGTAGGCGTAGAGTCATGTCTATGAATGCTTGTGTCTGTTATTTGTATGTGGTCTTAAAGTGTTTGGATAAAATCATATCTGATAGTAAGAAGTTTGTGATGGGGTTATAATTTTTGATATCGTGTATCAGTTCTTTATTGAAGATTAGATTAAAGTCTGATGTTGTGCTATTCATAGCCGCACTATAGAAACTGGTGCTTAATTTGTTCATGTGTTCATTTATGGTTTCTAGCTCTAGATCTCTTCTAAGGGTCTTCTTGTTTTGTATCACTTCTAGTTTTTTTGTTTGGGTTTTGTTCAGGCATCTCCATGCAGGGCTGGCATAAGTAATGATAGGTCGTATGCAGGAGATGTATAGCAGTCTTTTTAGGTTCAGCGGTAGTTTTGAATTTGCATTAAGTAGTGCTCTGAGGCATGAAAAGGCAGCAAGTGATTTATTTTTGATTTTCTCAACATGGTCATTCCAATTGAGTTTATCGTCTATTGTAAGTCCTAGATAATCTGCTTTGTCCACAATTGATACATAATTTGAGAAAAGTGATACCCTATTTGTGATAGGTTTGCGTCTCTTCTTTTTTCTAATAATCATTAGCTTAGACTTATCAGCATTAATGGATATTTTATTCTTAGCACACCAATCTTTGATAGGTGGCATGTAGTCATTTAGTTTTTTCACGGCTTGGTTTGGATTTAGTGAGCGATATGCGATGGCCGTATCATCTGCGTAAAAAGCAATCATATAATTAGCATTATCAGTAGTGATCGGAAAGTCACTTGTATAAACTAAGTATAATACAGGGCCTAAAATACTACCCTGAGGTACGCCAGCATTTATTGGGCATTCATTTGAGAGCTTGTTGTTGAGTCTGATTTGGAAGGTGCGTTTACTCAGGTATGAATCAATTATATGTATGATGCCATATGGAAGTGCTTGTTTAATCAGTTTAGATATTAATGCTTTGTGCCAGACGCGGTCGAATGCTTTCGCCACGTCTAGCATAAGCAGTGCTGTCGCTTCGTTTTTGTAAAGGCCGTCGCTTATAAAGTCAATTAGCCTGGTGAGCTATTTTGTCGTGGACAGATCCTTTCTGAACCCGAATTGCTCTTTTGGTGTAAAGTCAGTTAGTGGTTGTAGCCTGTTTAGAATAATTCGTTCGAATATCTTACCAAATGTTGGTAGTAAGCTTATTGGTCTAAAGTTAGTCGCAATTCGAGAGTCTTTTCCCGGTTTGGAAAATAAAATAATGGTAGCATTTTTCCAGATGTCTGGAAAGATATTATTTCTCAGGCAGGCATTATAGATGTTGCATAAGTTATTGAGTTTATTTTGTGGCAGATATTTGACCATGATATTATTAACGTTATCCATGTCTGGGGCTTTTCTATTATTGAGTTTCTTAATTATGCTGATCATCTCAGTATTGGGGAGTTCATCTAAATTATTGAGGCTGTTGTGATTATTAAAATAATCATTATAGATCTTATCAATGGCCTTGTCTTCATTTTCATCAGAGGGTGTTTTATTTAGTTGAAATTGCTCTTGAATCGTATCAGCGAAAGTATTTAATTTATCCTCATCTTTATAGACATTTTTGTTGTCATGGATAATTGGTTTGTTGATCGTTTTCGTGATTTTTAAGGTTTTAGACATTTTCCAGACCGTTTGGTCCTCTGTGCACATACTCGATACTTTGTCTTCCCAATTGTCATTTCTGTATTGTTTACATATTTTCTTAATGTCTTTAGTGAGCCTGTTTAATTCTGCTTTATCTCTTGGGGTTTCTGTGAGTTTGCCACTTTTTTCTAATATAATTTTTGTAGCCTATTAGCTACCTTAGTTCTTGTGGGAGTGCCATGTAGTTATGTTTACTGATGCTAGTTTTAGTGGCATCATTATAGGCTTGCTGAATATCTTTAGTTAGGTTGTTAATAGCGTTGTTTATGTCATCTATGGTGCTAAGGGTTGAGTTACTACTGTTCAGCGTAAGGATATTTGAGTATAGTTCCCAGTTGGTTTTCTTGGTGAAGGTTGGAGCATGTTCAATAGTGGAACCTATCGTAGCAATGACCGGGACGTGCTCACTATTTAGCTCAGTAAGGGTGTGACAACACATGGTGGTGTTGTTGTTGACAATAAAAAAGTCAAGTAGATCTGGCTGTTTATGGGGTGTATAAGGGAAATAAGTCGGTTCCATTGGTGATGTAACCGTAAGATTTAGATCTTGGATATGCTTATGGAGTTCTTTGCCGTGCTTGTTGTTTACTCTACTACCCCAAATAGTGTTCTTGGCGTTGAAGTCTCCGCCTATTATACAATTAACTCCATCTGGTAATAATATTTCCAACATATCTTTGGTTAGTATGTGTTTTGGTTTATTGTATATAGCAGTAATTTTGTAGTAGTCTCTGCTATTTTTGTAAAGAAGAATAGATATTTCCTCGTATCTGTCACAATTGTTATTGCTATATTGTACAGTATTAAGGCTTCTTTTTGCGAAGATTGCGGTCCCACCGCCTCTACAAATAGTCCTGTCTGTTCTATAAGTATTATAGTTTGTAAGTTTTAGCTTAGTGCTAGCATTTGCATGAGTCTTGGTTATTAGGGCGATATCAATATCATGTTCAAGGATAAAATTACTGAATTCGTGGAATTTTGTGCTAATGTTAGCCGCATTCCACAACATAATGCTAATAGGTTTACTATTCATCTTGGTATGTATGATATTCCTCTTGCTCTATTAATTTGACCGCTTTGCGAAGCTGGGGTATGGCATTTAATGCATTTAAGACACTGACCATATCATTTAATTTTTGGAAGATATTTTTGGCCTCGTTTATTGAGCTTTGCATATCTGAGTTATTTTGTCTTTTTAGGGCATCAGCATAACTTTTATTTTGATATGTTCTGTCACTCGGTCTATTATTTATGATTTCCGGCCTGATGGTGATGCCTGATGATGATTTGTGATGATTTCCGGCCTTTCCATTTTGTAGCCAGTGGTAATGTTTATTTCGTTGTCACTCCTATCCGTGTTGGATACTACAAGGCTCCCAGACGGTCCGTGCAGTTCCGGCGTAGCCATCCCTGTCGGTGCCATAAGGGTGCCAGGTAGCCCCGCATCTTGTGGCTGTGACATAGCCGTGTCCCCTGTATCCCGGTCAACAAGCTCTGATAAGAGCTCGGGTGGACGCGAGGTGCATAGAATCTACAGGCGGGGTGGCCGACCGTTCGGGGGTCTGGCCCCCGCGACACTCGGACTGTCCTACTCCTGCAGACCCGTCGATGATTTCGTTATCTATGATAGTAGAGAACTGGTTTCGAGGAGCAACCTCTCTCGTCCGTGGCTGAAATGCATGAGAATCAAGTTAACATGTCTTATATACCAGTGAATTGATGTTTAATATTCGTAGTGGTAATTATGCCACAAACATGATCCTGGTTTATATGTATACCTTTGTTCAACTTCCTTTCATTTCATTATTTATTTTGTATTTATAAAGTAATATAGTGACCTCCATTTTATGTTTTTTGGGTATAAAATGAAAGCTAAGTTATAATGAGAAATCTTAAAGTGAAAAACTTCTAATGTAAAAATTCAAGAACATATTTTGTACATCTAATTATTATTTCTGTTTTTAATCATGTAATACAATTAAGCTGATTTAAATATATTTCAAATACTATTAATTCCTGAAAAATCTTAAAAGCCTTTCTTTCAATATTTTTCTAAAACATAATTATTTAAAATATGTTTGTCAGTGAATGTCTATCAATTTCTTCTTTTGTGTAGAAACCAAATATTCCTTGGAAAAAGATACTGACATCTATTCCTGTGTGGACATTAATGATTACCCATTTTGGACAAAATTGGGGATTCTACACATTCTTAACTATGCTTCCAACGTATTTAAGCTCCATATTACGATTTAATATTAAAAGCGTAAGTATTGAAAGTTTGTATTATATATTTTCCTTTCAATAATTTTTAATTGAACTGTCACAAAACTTTAAAAATCTGTTTAGGTTTGTTTGTAATTTTCCTTATTTGAGTATGGATGTTGTATTTAAACTTAATTTAATTTTTTCTTAAAAATTCGAATTTTAGGTGTTGATTTTAGTTTTCAATATTAAGATTTTTTGTTCTAGCTGTAATCTTATTTTATCTCTATGTTTTATGATAAAATTTTTAAAGAAAATCTAAAAGTGATTTTTTGTATAATTTGTAACTAACTTTTTTAACACTTTCGACCTTAATTTAAAACATGCTAAGTTCAAAATACATTTTAGTTTATTTTAAAAATTATCAACATTTGTGAAAAATTTGTTTGAAAATTGAATTCCTAATTCCTTGAATTTTCTTTTTTGTCTTAGTCAAAATAATCAATTATGCTCATGTAAGTGTACATATTTTATTGTTGTAAAGAATTACATGTTCTATAAGATGTTAATATTTTTAATTTTTCTCTATTTATGTATTGCGTATTTTTTATTTTTTTTACCATAATTTCAATTTACAATACACTTTTTTTCCAATATAATATTATTATCACTAATCTGCATTGAAATCTTTTGGAAACTCCATTAATGTCCGATGGCTCTGAGACAGTGCTTTACTGGGCTGATTGAGACATTTTAAGGCAGTAACTTCGGCCATTTTTTTTTAATTGCATTTTTCATCTATATTTATTGTTTCATATTTATTTTGATATTTGTTTCTCTTTTGCCATTAGAAATAAAATATAAATCCATAATCTAATGTATTGTAATATAAAAATTTAAAATGAAATGTGTCAAAGAAGAAATCTTTAATATCATTTGCCAGTGGAGGAATTTTTAATATTATTTGGGAAATATACAGGGTAACAAAAAAATATAGGGATCATTTTTGAATGTTTATATTTCCAAAATTTATTATATAAATTCAGCGATGCTTCTCAATATGTCGACCTCCGGCATAATAGATTTGACTACAACGCTTAGGCCATGATTTTAAAGCCCGCAAAATGATTTCCTGGGGGATTTTCTTCACCTCTTCTCTAGTAGCTCTTTAAAGGCCTCTCAATGTAGAAATTCTTCGCTTATTCAGTTTGTTTTTCAGATGTTCCCATGGGAAATAAGAGCATGGTGCAGCATCAGGACTGTTTCGAATCCATTGTTCTGGTCTCAAGAATTGCACTTGCTGATCTTTTAGGAATTTCTGGGTGACCTTAGATGCATGTGATGGGGCAGATTCCTGATGGAACTCAGCATCACCATTAGGGTACAATCTGCAGTAATCATCCTTAAGAAAGGGCTTTAATATCTTCTGTATATAATACTCTGAATTTATTTTGGCCCCAGGTTTCACAAACCGAGGTTTGGTCACACCATGGGCGGATATGCCCATCCAAACCATTACGCTTTTGGGATGAGGCACCGTGGTTGATGGTGTCAAGTCTCGCCTGCTCTGCCCGTGACTAAGATATTGAACTTTAGATTTAGCATTGGTATCAGATAGATAGATCCAAGCTTCATCAGTTGTAATGAACTTTCGACATCTGTCATTACGGAGAGGCTTGTAGAGGGGCCATGAACGTTGCCTCCTAATATGCACCGATCTCTCACTTAAATGATGACATTTAGGTTTTTTACGGCATTTTTTCTTCAACTTTTGTTTTAGTTGATAGCTTACAACTTGCTGATTCAGGTTAAGAGCTTTAGCCATGCTTGCCTGTGTTGATGGATCCAGGTTTGATGTCATCTTATCAAGCTTCTGCAAATCTGATTTCTTCAACTTGCTTGGCCGTCCACTTCTTTTTGGTTTTGCATTATTTTGCATCAATCAGAGTTTTGAATTCTTGATGCGACTGATATGACTGAGTGAAATCGCAATACCTTTCTTTTTAAAATGGGTGTGTATAATCCTGTGGCTCCAGCGAAGTTCTAAAAATGCTTGTACTTGACCAATTAGCTCTTTGTCAAATTTCTTCAAAGGCATTTTTTTGATTTTATGAAATAGTATTGCAATTGATAGTCTAATAGCAGAGCTTTAGATCAGTAAGCTATATATGTAAAAAGGTTTTAAAACATTAGTGGTAGTTAGCCACAAAAGTGATCCCCATACTTTTTTGTTACCCTGTACTGTAATCAGAGTAGAAGTAGTGATATTAGCTGGTATTCATAATTAAAGACAAAACTTCTCAAAAGTTTTTAAATTAAGTAGTATTAATGCTTTTACATTTTTTAATAAGGTAAAAAAAATGGGAAATGTAAGTTCATGAGTAGTGTAACTTGAAAAAATCAAAATAAATTCCTATTAAGCACTTGTATTTTTTCTTATTACTATATATTCTAGAGGTTCCCTAACTTTCCCATGACATGGCACACCTAATAGCATGCGTACCACTCTTCAATCGTGGGGACTGAAATCAGTCTTGAGAAAAAATCAGTAGGCTAAATTTCATCAATTAAAGTATTTTTGTTTGATTAATAATTTTTATTTTTATTTGCTGTTGAAAATAAATAAAATGAAAAAAATTTTTTTTTGATAAAATAATACAAACATTTTGTTTTCTCATACTTCTCTCAGTTTTGACTTATTAAATTAATTCTAACAAATGCAAAAAGTGAAATCTATTTATTTATGATCTAAATTTAGTACAAAGGAGATCAAACCTGATGCTCAGGTAATAGTTATTTGAATGACAAAATAAAATTTGATATACTGGTCTCTCACATTTCTTTGTCAATAATAATAAATGAGCAGTATTTTTCTTTATAATAGCATCTGCTAAAAGTTTGTACTGATATATTTCCTAAAGATACTTTTCTTACAAAACGGACAAAGTAACCCTAGTTAATGGCATGTGAAAGTATTGTTCATTAAAAAAAAAAAAAAATCTTTTCTTATTTAACTTTAATTTATTAAGAAAATTTAAATGCTCTTTTTTGCAGGGAAATATCAGTTTTCTTTAATTAAAATCTTTGATAACCTGTGTTTAAAATTAAATTATGGGAAGCTAGGTGGGCAGCTAAGTCAACTCTGTTATGACAATCAGTCATTTACATAAACAAAAGAAAAACAATTACTGGAATAAATAAAAATCGCAACCCATTAACCAATTTTTTAAATTTTTTGCTATTTTAAGTTTATGATTTGTTTAAACTTTTTTTTTCCTCACTCATTCACTCTTCTCATTTATTTTGCTTAGAATCTGCTTGTCTAAGCAGAAAATCAGTTTTTTCTCTTTGTGTTATTCAACAGAGAAACAATTATGGTTTAAAGAGTTATTTTTAACAAGTTTATCTGATTATAAAGCAAGCAAAGTTGTAATTATTATTATTATATTTTTTTAATTTCAAATTATTGTTCTGTATATAAATGCTTAAGTTAATTCCAAATATGAAACTAAACTTTGACTGTAGCAATTTTAAAATGTTTTTACCTTATAAGCCTCTGAATCTAAGCTGAGCAGATTAATCACTCTTTTGAGTTAGTTAAAACCAAAAAAGTTTTCCTTGTTCAGAGCACTGATACTATGCAATAATTTTTTCTATTTTAGGATGGTTTTATTTCTGCTCTTCCTTATCTCTTACAAGCTATTGTTGGATGGGTAACAAGCTATATTGCTGATTATGCCCGTCAAAGACAATATTTTACTATCAGCACCATTCGTAAAATCTGTAACACTGTTGGTAAGCTTTTCTTTATTATTTTAAATTTAAAAATTTTAAGTAGATGGGCAAAAAGATTAGATGGGCAAAAAATTTCAGTTTTTCAATGTGAAATAATATTTAATTTTTTCTGTGGAAAAAATAAACTTTGATCTGGCAAATATTGTGCCATAATTTAAAATTTATTATTGTATTATTTAAAATAATATTCTAACTTACGCTAAAAAATAATGTCAATTTTACAATTAGTTAACTATTTGTTTTTAATTAAAACTGTATTATCAGAAGTTACTGGAAAGATGGCAAAAAGTCATCTAACAAAATGGAAGATATTTGACTTATTTGAAGATATTTGACTGATTATTGAATTGGCAATCCAATGTGGTTGTAATTACTATGCATTTGATTCTAATATCAAGCTCAATGAATTATGATTTATGTTGCATTAACTTTAATTTTATTGTCTTCTCGACCTTCATGTATTATGATTTAATTGTGGTAAAAAAAAGAATCCTAAATAGCTTTGATGTGACTTAAGTTATTGTTGTTTCTTATCCTCTAATTGTCTGGCGAAGATCCAGCAGGTTGTTGACCCTCAAAAAGTCGATGACAAGAAGTGGAGTAGCATATAAATCTTCCTTGGAAAGGCCCAAGCAGTCAAGGATATGTTCGGCTGAGGCCTGCTGGGCTTCACATTTGGAGCAGACTGCATAAGTCTTTCTTCCTTTAAAGTACGAGAGACTATTTGTGTGTCCACTTGCCAATCTGGAAATAGCTATTTGAGATGCTCTATCACCTATATGAACAAGTGAAGAGCCCGGTTCCTTGGCCGCATACCAATGATGTGAGGGGGGAGATCCTCCACTTTTTTGATAGATGGCTTTTGATTTTGGACTGATACTCTGAAAAGGTAAGGGCTGAGGACGAAGATGTTAAATTACTACAGCCCTCCTTGGCCAAGCGATTCGCTTGCTCATTGCCAAAGATGTCAACGTGGGATGGTATCCACTGAAGATGAACGTCGTGGTGCTTTGAAATAAGTTGAAGTTTAAAAAGGATGGAGATGCTTGTTTTGTCTCCAACTTTAGTCCAGTTGTGCATGTGTTGAAGGCAGCTGCGACTGTCCGACAGGATCCAAAGATCTCCAAAGCAGGGCTGATTGTGCTCCGGAAAAAATCCGGATTTCCGAATTTTTCGCTAACAGTGATCCGCAAGTTTCCGGAGATCGAAGGTCCAGATGTTTCAAAAAATCATTGATCACTGAAGTTTCCAGAAATCAAATTTTCAAAGGTGGAACTTAAAAACACAGTTTATTTTATTTGTTTGTAAGGGAGAGCCAGAGAGATACTTTATAAGCTTATATTCATAATTAATATTCATTTTTTATCAGTAAATAGTTGTTACAGTAGACGCCGCTTAATGTGATCATGGTTAATGTTATCAATCATTTAATGTTATCAAAATAGCTTAGTCCCGTCCGCTTATATCAAAATACATTGAAAAATCATCGTTTATTGTAATCAAATGTTCGTTTATTGTTATCAGTTTAGATGCAAATTTTATTTTCCTGAAATCAATAAAAACAAGAAGGAAAATTTTGTTTTTGTTTAAAGTGTTTTCTAAAACTTACCAAAAGTTCAAACGGGGCTCGTATATTATCTTTTAAACACATGTTATTAGGAGAAGATAAATGTCGTGTTCTTACCACCAAACACCACTTCTTTAATTCAACCCTGTGACCAGAGAATTATCCGCACCTTGAAGGCATATTACAGAAAGGAAATGCGTTCAAGGATCTTCGAAAATATGGAAGACCAAGACGCTGAAGATCTTAATGCGAACGCTCTAGCCAAAAAAACAAATGTTTTGGATGCCATACATTTGTTAACAATGTCATGGAATAATGTCTCGGAAAAAACAATTCGAAATTGTTTTAGTCATGGAGGATTTTGTCAACCAGAGTACAACAATGCTGCTGTGATGAAAGAAATGGAAGACGTTTTCGATCCCCCGCCCAATATGAATGCTGAGGATTTTGAAGCATGGATGGAGATCGACGAGAAGGTTGAGAATTCTACTTCGTTAACTGATGAGGACATTTGCGAAGCCGTATGTGTCAAAGATCAAGCTTCGTCACAAGATTCTGATACCGATGATAAACCCGAAACTGCTATCGAGGTCTAGGTGTGCAAAACAAAGCCGACGCGGATCACTTTCATAAACATTATGATTATGAGCGATTAGTAAATGACTTGCTTTGAAGAATGCTAAGCAATCGACAATTGATGATTTCTTTTTCAGTTAATAATTAACCTTTTGTATTTTGTATTGTTTTCTGCAGTTCATGTAAGTATACTAACTAATTCTTTTTCTTTAGTGTACATTAATTTCTATTAAATGCTATAGAGTTTTACAGCAACAACTCCTAATTTGAAGTAATTTTTATTTTAATACGTATGTAAAAAAAATCATTTTTTATCTTAAATTTTTTTCGTTTACTGTATTGTAATCAATCGGTTATTGTTATCAAATCACGTTTGTCCCGATGTGATCACATTAAGCGGTGTCTACTGTATAATCATAAACTCAAAAAAGAAAGACATATTTGTAAATTTTAATTACTTCTCCAGGTCATCATAGATATGTGTAAATGGTATAGGTATGTGTAAAATGTTGAATATATTTTAAGTAAACTAAGAAATATTGAGAAAAAGGAAAAAACCTTGTTTAAATTTTTTTCAATTTAAACTGTTTTTTTTATCCATGAAAATTTCCGGAATTCTGACTTGGGCTCACAATCACCCCTGTCCAAAGTCACTCTCGTTGATTATAGCATCGATGCCCTGTTCAATTACGATTAATTCACTTCGAAAGACTGAAGTGAAATCAGGATTACGGAGACAGATGGAGTAATTTTTCAATGAAGACGCCGCTACCAGCTAGGTTTCCCAGTCCACTACCTTCTGTATAAATTTTTACGCCGTCACTGGGAATCTCGCCTAAAATTTCCAAAGCTAGCTGCCTAAGTTCAGCTGGAATATGATCTTTCTTTGTGACCGGAGCAGAAAAGCCAAAGTGTGACTTAAGTTGTTTATTTATTAATTAAATCTTGATAGTCTGAGTATTTTATATTTTTGATTGATAAATTGAAGAATTGTTTAATTATAGGTTTCATTGGACCAGCTATATGTTTACTTGGAGTTATTGTTAGTGGCTGTAATCACATATGGAGTGTCGTTTTCCTTACTCTGGCTATGGGTTTTAATGGATTTACTTTCTCAGGCTACATGGTGACACACGTTGATATGTCTCCAGAATTTGCTGGTATGTATTACATTATATGAAATGTTAAACAGTGAAAATTTGTCTTTGAGCTGCATCAAAAGCTTGCTTTCTATAAAAAAAATTTTTAAACAAAATATATTCTGTTTATAGTTTTTATTTTTGTTCTTTAAGAATTGTGTTGTATTAAATTATTCATATTTCTAATAAAAGCTTGTACAAACATTTAAGGAAAAAAAAATGAAGGAATGTAAAAGCTAATTGAATAATAATCACACAATTTAAGTCAATTATTTTAAATCAAGGTTTAACTAATAAATTTTGAATTTATTCTACTAGGATCCTTAGAATTGTTCATTAAATTTTTAAATTATTTTTTTCCCCAGAAATTTAAGAGATTTCCTACGAAATAAAAACCACTCCCTTTTAATTTTGCTCACCAATCTTCAGAATTAGTTGTGCAATTTTCTGATTGCTTCATGATCTGAAATCATCCCAACTCAACTTTTTCACCTGATTGGTTGTGTGTGTAGCAGATTCCTTATAGAAATCAAGGTAAAGGAGTGAATTATTTTCTTTGAATAAAATTTAACTTTACAGTTAATTTACTCCAATTTACTCTGAAGTCAATTAGTAGTTTAAATGAAGTTTCAGAGGTAAAAGTATATGGCTACAAAAAAAATTCAATCTTCAATTGTGGCTGGAAGCCCCCTGCAACAGGCGGAGATCTTTGTCATTCCTAAATATTCGGTCGCCAATAATAGTTAATGTTAGTGAAGCAACAAAAACTTGAATTTTACACACTCCACAATCACAACATAAACTTGTTCATCAAAGAGATTTGGATTTGAATACTTGGAGAGTGTACATTTCGCTCCCTGCTTTTGATATATAGTGTTTTAAAATAAAATAGTTGTTCAAGATAGAAAAAGAAAAGAAGAGGTAAATGTGTTTATTTCATCACTTAGTCTTTATTATTGCTATTTTAGTATAAAATATGTATATCTGTGCATTACAACGATAATTTCATTTACTTCTTAGAACTGTCGATGAATTTTTACTTATTTTTTTCAGGTACTCTTATGGGAATGACAAACGCATTTGCAACTTTAACTGGTTTTCTGGCTCCCAAGGCTGTTGGTGCCCTAACTCAAAATAATGTATGTTATTAAAAAAATTCATTAATTTGAACATCAAATTTTTCTTTCGATAATTTATATTTCTTAAAAGTAAAATTCTTCTTCACTTTGCTTTCTTAATGGTCCGAGATTAATATGATATTTTTTAGAAGACAGTATTTCTTATCTGTAAGAAAAAGATAATAAATTTATGGTCTTAAAATAATCAAAGAAACTCATTTATATTATTTTGCTAAAGTGCAATATTCATAATCTAACTTTACTCCCTTAAATACATTTTTCTGTTATCATACTTGTCAGATCAGTCTTGAATCTTTACTACAAAATGTTTCATAAAATTCTGTTATATTTTTCTTTTTTAAATCCGCAATTAAAAAATATATCTTCTTTAGATTGTCAATTTTTTTTTATTATTTAAGAATACAAATATGGCATTTCAGAAAAAGTGCATAAGATTTTTTTTTTCTCTTTTTCCACTCTCACCTATGTTTTTTCAATTTTACCTATTGTTCAAAACTTTAATAATAATCTTTTAGATTAAAGGTCTTTGACTAGGCCCACATCAACAGTGCCTGAATAAAAGTTGGCCACAGGCAATATAATTTTGAAATAAAGATTTTAAACTTTAAAAACAATGTCCCCCGGTTTAGTAAACTAAATTATCAAATTTGGTGTCCCACTTTCACTCTTTCATTTATTTTTCTTTGTTTTTAAACAACGTGGTTGATAAAATTAGATGAACAGTGTTTATTATAGTAGAAATTATTAAATTAGTTTTGCTTATAGATTTTTTTTATATAATGCTAATAAAATATTATTCAGGTTAAAATATAGCTATAAATGAAGTTGCATTACCTATAATTCAAGCTAGAGACAAATAATTTCAAGAAAACTGAAAGAGATACTTAACACTATTTGTTTCATTATTAATTTTAAAAAAAAAGGTACTTTGAAAGCTCAAACACACCTCTTTCTACAGTCAACATGACATGAAAAATGAGGAATTTCTAAAGCAAAATCCACCATGCCTCAATGCCTTTAGAAGAAAGTGCTCTGTTCAAGCACTTGAAATATGTGGACCTTTTTTTATATATATACCATATATACATTTCAGTTGCGAAACAAATAAAGTTTTATTGTTAAGTATAATCCTTACATTTTAATAATATCCATTTATATATTGAGGTCCATATTCCATCTTAATAATTGCTTTAAAAATTCTCATTTCAACAATTCGTATTATATCTTTATTGTACTTTTACACAGACATTGCCTCAATGGAAGATAGTATTTTTTATTATATTCCAAGTTATATTTTACTTTTTATTTAATCTTTGATTCATCTGTTCATTATAACTNAGGTCCATATTCCATCTTAATAATTGCTTTTAAAATTCTCATTTCAATAATTCGTATTATATCTTTATTGTACTTTTACACAGACATTGCCTCAATGGAAGATAGTATTTTTTATTATATTCCAAGTTATATTTTACTTTTTATTTAATCTTTGATTCATCTGTTCATTATAACTGAAATTAAAACTTTCATAAATCACATTAAGACAATTCTTATCTCCTCATTGCCTTTTTACGCAAAGATTATCATAATGGAAGATAATATTTTTACATATCTCAAGTTAATCTGTACATTTTAATTAATCTTTGATTTATATATTGGTGTCTATATTCTAACTTGAATTAATTCTTTCACAAATCACATTTCAACGATTCTTAATATCTTATCATTTCTTAATATCTTATCATTGTCTTTTTATGCAAACATTACAGCAATGGAACAGCGATTCTGCTTACACACTATAGCACATTAAGTATGCCAAAAATCATTATAGGGATGTGAAGCAAAAGTTATGACTATTTATCTTGGATGCTAAATTTTCCAGCACGGAAAAAAACTAGGGAAAAAAATGAAAACAGTTTTCTTCTAGTAAAAATGTAACAAAAAAGATTGATACTAATGCATGAAACAGAATATATAAGAACAAAAGTCAATGTGCCATCACAATGTATATAAATGGGAGATTTATATTATTTTAAATAGTTTAAAGAAGAAAAGAAAAAGATTTGGAGTTTCGAATGTAATGGTTTCTAAATACTCTTAGTTTCAAAGTCTAAGGGACTCCCAAACGAAAGATAGTATTTTTATATATTTCAGTTGTTTTTTCTGTTTTTGCTTATGTATTTCACATAATTCTTTATATTTCAACAACTTCTGTTTTATACATAAATGTCCATATATTTATTATGCTTGAATTAAGGCTTTTATTAAGAACATTTCAACAAATTTTACACAATTCCTTTTTTTAGCAAACATTAGCACAATGGAGGATAGTATTTTACATCGCTATAGGAGTTTATGTAGTTACCGGAGCTCTTTATGTTCTTTGTGGTTCTGCAAAGCTTCAAAAATGGGGAGCTTCAAAATCGAGATCTTTGAGTGACATAGCTGAGAAGGCTGAAACGACAAGTGATGAATAACTTATGTACTTATACTTTATAGTAGATTCTTTATTATATTTTTCAAATATCATTAAGATGTTTAATATATATCTATATATAGATATTTGAAATATTAGAAAATATTTATTATAAATATACATATACAATTTTATAAACTCCAGTTGTTTAGCTCTCATTGTTTTCATTGACATGTTTAGTTTATTTTTTACTTTATACACATTCTTAAATCCTTAATTTATTTTTTTAGCTCATATCTTTTTTCTTTTTTTTTAAATTTTATGTTGCACTTGTTCTTTTCTGTTATTTAATACTCAAGAAATGTATATTATTCAAAGAGTGTCTTTAGCGTAATTTATTTTAGGATTCATAATTGATGCTGTTTTACGTATTTATTTCTTTTAGATTTTCATTTTATTAATGTCAATATATCTTTTATAAGTATGTGTTTATATAGATAGGTCATTTTTAATGTTTACAACTTTACAGTGACACAAATTCTTAACTGAATATTCTAAAGTAATTTTACGAATTTTAATATATGAGAGAATTGTAATCTGTTTTTAAAATGAAAAGAGATTTTCCTTAACAATACAAAAATGTTGTTTACAGTTTTAAAATGGATTTACGTTCTTGTATTACCCTTTGGCATTGTTGTGATCTTTGCTTTTTTGTTTTTATTTGTTTTTCCTTTCTCATTTCTTTGTTTTACAATTAAAATTTTTTTTTGTTTAATTTTTTTTTCTTCAAAATATTTAAGTTTTTTTTTACTTAGTTTGGCACAGTATAGCCACAACTTTTCTTTGTGCTATTAAACCTAGACAAATTATCCACAATTTAATGTCTAACAGAAAAGTGAAATAAATAATTGAAATTTTTGTAACTCTATATTTATAATTGTTTATTATAAACTATAAATATTTCTGTTTTTCAGTTAACAAATAATAATTATATTGGATTGCTTATTTAATAGTTTGACTTTAGCCTGAAGGGCAATATTATTTTAAATGAAAAGGGCTAATGCTATTTTTAGCAAGGGAAGTCTAAATTTTTTCATTAGTTAATCTCTTTGTAGTAATATATTATTAGTATTTATGGTATAGGTTCCTTGAATTGATTTAAAGAGAACTTGCATGCTTTACAGTATCATAAATGTGTTTCTAACATTATTTAATGTTTGGAAGAATTTTGTCCGTAAACACAGCAGTTTAACTCATATAGATTAAAGCAATGTCATCCACCTTACCGATATTCATAAATACTTAGTTTTTGACGTAGTTGTCTGGCTCAGAAAATAATAAAATTTTACTCAAGTTGATAATTTTTTTTAAAAAAAAAATTATTTATTCCTATATCATTTTGCTCAAATCAATATCATTTACCTGTTTTTAGAAAATCTTGAAATTCAAATAATGCTCGGAATTACAGATTATTTTTAAAACTTGAAGCAATCCATCAATTATAAGACCTGTTATGCAACAGGTTGTTATTCTAAAATGTATCTTTATAATTTTATTGATTATCATTTTTTATTGTTGAAATTTGTATCTTAGATGTAATTAACATTAAAATTTGAAGGTTTAGTTGAGATGAAATAGTCAGAAAACCGATAAATTTTTTTCCCTTCTTTTTGCCAACCTTGATTTTTAAAAATTAAATTTTTTTCAGTTTTTTTTTTTCCGCACATGCTATGACTTTATTCATAAAATAAGAATTTTATTTTTGTTCTTCGGTGAAGCCTTTAACATAAGTGAGCATTATTTAAAATAATTTCTTAGAAACAAGAAAAAAGTTAGTGGACCAATTTAGTTTTCCTAAACTAAGTGTATAAAAAATGATGTTTATTTGTAAAGTTTTATTATTTTTTACAAGAGTTGTTTTTTAAATATTTAAGCTTGTTTATAAAATTTGTTACTTTAGTGTCGTTTATATTTTTGTCATCGATTATTCAGACAGTTGTAAAATCTACTTATTTGCCATTTTTTTAAATGCTTTAAACCTTTTCTTATAACAAAACTTCATTTAAGCTACCAGGGTCAGTATAGGTGAATCATTAACAACTCTTGTATCTTTCATTTATTTTTAACTGAACTAAGCAAAATCCAATGTTTTACACAAATTTCATTTCCTTTTTTCCTTATACAAATGTTAAAGTAGTTTTGTACCATTTTTCACTTTTAAAATGTAAGGAAATTTTTTGTTTTTCCATTTATCAAAAAAAAAAATTTTGACGAATTTTTGAAATAAATTTTCTAACTAGAACCTCTGTTTATCAAGGTCCAGTTAACGAAGTTTGACTGTATTTTATGTCTAAAAACAATGTAAACGTTATAAAGTTTTTTGTTTCTATACTGTAAATTCTTGTATTAGTTAACCTGAAATCAGGCGCATACTCTTTGAAATATTTTTTAGTGAGATTTTGTGTTGGGCAAATAATTTATTGAATGTACATGTTTTTATGTTACGTTTTTCAAATCTCCAGCTGCAAAACAGTGTAATATTTGTATTGCATTATTTTTGAATAAGCTTATACTTATTTCCTCAATTTTAATGTACTATCTATGAATTTAAATAGATATGCAATAAAATTATATATCTATAAGCACATGTATCTCTAAGCACATATATCCATGTGATATTAAATAGTTTAACTTTTATACAGTTTTTACAATGTTAATTTTTTTAAATGTTGTTTTTAAAAATGGTATCTTTCCATTAGCTAAATGATAAATAATCCAATAAAAATGAAATACATCGATACACACTCTACCAGTTTATCTTTTATGAAATGAAATGGATCTATTTTTTCAGATTAATTTTGTTATTTTTATTTTACCATTTATACCAAAGACAGATTGTTTCCACCTGGTGTCCTCTCCCAGCTTTATAGAAAAATATATGTTGCTTATGAGATAACATCTGATGTTTGGAGTCTTATTACTGTAAGATAACTGGATCAAATATGTTTAAATTTTGTAGCCAGAAGTGCCAGATCATAGAAAAGAAGCGGGGAACATTCATGACCATATAGATATTTATAAAAATTTAAAACTGGAAATCACCGTTTGAATGTACAACAAATTTGATAGTAATAAAAAAATAATGTTTTTTATGTCTGCTGATAATTGTTTAACTTTTCCTCAACTTTTCAGCCAAAGGTTTTTTTATTGAATTTATAAATTATATTTTCCTTTTTGTATCTATTGAAAATGTTAATTAATGACAATTTGAATAATAATAGAGTAAGGACACATGGTCGACCAATGTCAAACCTCTTCGTTTCGACTCTGAATACCGCCTATACTCTAGTTTACTTCTTCTGGTTTCTCGGTGCATGAGGTCCTACATTAGACTGGTAGTAAGAAATAGTTCCCAGTAAGTACCCAAAGTTAAGCATCACTGACAATGGTCAGTGAGCATATGGGTGACCACTTAAATTATGTGACGGAACTGAGGGTGTGTGGTATGAGTCCTTGTTAAACTGGTCTACTCTAAAGTGCTCAACTTTGCTAGCAGAGCGTTGAACTACCAAAGTGAAGAAAGGATCTCTTCTGCAGAGGATCAAAATTGTGTTTCATGTCTTTGGATCATCCTCAAGGATTTTTGATAGATTGTCGCTATTAGCCCATTGTGCAACTTCAGTGCAACGTAAATAAAGTACTACTACTCAACGCAACTGCACTTAGAGAAATTTTACTTTATATGTTTTGTTTCCAGTAATTGAAACTGTGTTTATGGCATGCTTCATCTTTGCAATAAAATTTTTTATTTGTAAGGAAATTAGTAACTAATGTCAAACCATTACAAATTAGCTTGGAACTTATATTACTATGGGCATCATTGGTATAAAATTTTCTTGAATTATCATGGTTCAAGTTCAGTTACATTAAAAAAAAATAGTAAATGAAAAAAATAATAATCTGTTAGCAGATATTTAACTGAATGGAAAAAAAATTTTATTCATAAAATTTAAAAAGCTGAATGATGCTAATTTACAATATTATAACTAGGTATTTTAATTTTGTCTGCCTCAAAAATTGAATTTATGCGATTCCCATATAAATTACTTTCGAATATAAAACTAAATGCACTCTTCATTTGAAAATATAGCTTTTTGTTAGAATATTGTCTCGCAACATTTTAGTTTTTTTTTTTTTTTTTNTTTAGTTTTTTTTTTTTTTTTTCTTCTTGCTCCTGTAGGAAAACAAATTGTACATATCTGTAACTTTTTTTTTTACAGCTTTTGAAAATTTTTCTATTTATCCTTAATTACTAAACATTCTTTTTGTAGTCTCCCTAATTTTGTCAGTTTTCAAAATTAGAATGCTATCACAACAGTTAAACGTCAGGATTGCAAATGTTAACCCCCTTTCGTCCTAACATTTGAGCACACCTTTACATTACTCCATATTCTTTTTTTATAATTTTTAACTGTGAATAGGCAGAATTCGCCATTGATATTCTTTAAAATTAGGAATAATATCAGAATGTTATAATATTTCATGTTTAAGATACTTATATAGAGTGTTGTGCATTTAACCAATCATTGGTTTTCTTTTATCTATTCGATTCATGATTCAGATCTGAGGGGATTATCGATTATCTAAATTTCTTCTGTTAGCAGGTTAAGCTATATATCTTAAATTAAATTATATATCTTAAATTACTAGCTGTATATCTTGTGATATGATAATTTGTTAGAAATAAATAAAGGAATTATATAACTAAGTTGTTTACAACTCATGGCCTATGAGTCAATGGATTACAGCTACAAAGTAACTCTGAGTTATCGTAGAGCCACAGTAATTAGTTTCAAATAAATATAGGATGTAAAATAAGTTTATATATTGTGTCTGTAAGTCAAATGACTAGATATAGAGTAACACCAAGTTATCTAAGATTATGCTGGTTAAAATTCTTGGGTATTTTTTCGAATATTATTTTTTTAAATTTCATTAGTTTCTTCCTCATGGTCTGGAATGAATGTCTGTGATATTTGGAGTGATTTGATTCAGTAGTTTTATAATAATTAGGCTCCAAATACTTGTTATTGTATAATCACATTCTTTATCAATATATATATATATATATGTTAGTTGTTTTGTTAAATTGAGATTTTTAATAAAGTGTCTTATTATGCATATTTGTTTTGTCAGCTTTTTTTTTTTAACATACAGAAATACATAGAAAGTCAAACAAGTCTTTTGCGCGATTATCAGATAAATTCAAAAATAACTCGTCAAATACAAAGCAAAAAGTTTTCAATTCAACTTAAATATACCAACTAGAATTTGTCTCTCAACGTTTGTCTATGGTGGAAAGGGGAATAAATGGATTTTACTCATTAACTTAAAATGTTTTTTTTATTTTTATAACTTCTGTTAAGAGGTAATAAATGAATTAAAATGTATTTTATTTTATTTGATAACCGTCTTTGAACAGCCGTCCCAATTTTTGGGTTTTCGACTACTAATCTTCAACTCCGTAACCTTATAATTTTGAACCCAATCCAGAAGACAAGGGAACTCCTGGATCAAGTATTGGGAGAAACTTGCCTTCTTGAGGGACGTTTTGTTGGAACTAACCCGAATTGCGTTACATGGAGAGGAAAACCGCGAAAACATCCCACGGTTAGGGGAATCTAACCTGTGATCCGTCTACGACTGAGGATATTTTTCGCCAGCACTGTGATCGGTGCGAGCCGGATGAGGAATTCGTATCGACCAGCCATCGCTCAGATTCGAACCCGGTTCACCTGATTGGAAGATGAACGTTATATTTCCTAAGCCACCGCGGCTCGAGCTTAAATGAGCATAACAACTGATATCACCTAAATTCGAAATTCTATGTTTGCTCAAAAATAAGGGATACTCCCTTGTTGCAAAATAGCTTTCGCCAAACAAGTACTTTAATATACACCTAAAAAACCTGTATTCACAAAACAGAATGTCCATCTATTTAAAACAACTATTCAATGACATAGATTAAAGAAATCTTTAAAATGTACTCGGTGTGGAATGATTATAAAAATTAACTTATTAAAACTTAATTCAAAATAAGTTACGATTTTAAAATACTCTTGAAACCGAAGAGGGATTAAAGCTTTTTTGTTATATAAAAATATGTTATTGAATTGAAAACTTGTTTACTCGATAATATTTGAATAAATTTAACAATAATTTGATCTCGCTTTTTAAATTATTTTTCTCCATAGTCAGATGAATGAAATTTATTAAAGAAGTTTAAAATTTTACCCACTTTTTCTTTAAATATTGTATGGATTTAATCTAAAATGACAAATGCGTATGAGGTCTAATAATGTAGTGCACTAGTGTGATTCATAAAGGAAGTGTGACTCATCTCTTATTGAAAAAAATATGAGCATGGGATGGAAAAAAAGTATTTTCTTTATATAAAAAACTAGTAACAATAAAATACAAATTTCAATCAAGACACGTTTTTTTTATTTATTAATTTTTCTTTTTTAAATTCTTGATTATGATAGGAGGGAAAACTTCAACTTTTTAATCTTCGAATTTTGTGGATTAAAATCGCTTAATTTAAAAAATAATTTTTACTGTCATACCAGCAAACGAAACTATTGTCATAAAAATTGATAAGGGGCCGTTCAAAAAGTACGTACACAAAAATGGAGAAATTTTAAACCCCTCCCCCNTAGATTAAAGAAATCTTTAAAATGTACTCGGTGTGGAATGATTATAAAAATTAACTTATTAAAACTTAATTCAAAATAAGTTACGATTTTAAAATACTCTTGAAACCGAAGAGGAATTAAAGCTTTTTTGTTAGATAAAAATATGTTACTGAATTGAAAACTTGTTTACTCAATAATATTTGAATAAATTTAACAATAATTTGGTCTCGCTTTTTAAATTATTTTTCTCCATAGTCAGATGAATGAAATTTATTAAAAAAGTTTAAAATTTTACCCACTTTTTCTTTAAATATTGTATGGATTTAATCTAAAATAACAAATGCGTATGAGGTCTAATAATGTAGTGCACTAGTGTGATTCATAAAGGAAGTGTGACTCATCTCTTATTGAAAAAAATATGAGCATGGGATGGGAAAAAAGTATTTTCTTTATATAAAAAACTAGTAACAATAAAATACAAATTTCAATCAAGACACGTTTTTTTTATTTATTAATTTTTCTTTTTTAAATTCTTGATTATGATAGGAGGGAAAACTTCAACTTTTTAATCTTCGAATTTTGTGGATTAAAATCGCTTAATTTAAAAAATAATTTTTATCGTCATACCAGCAAACGAAACTATTGTCATAAAAATTGATAAAAGAAAAATGCATATTAGAGTGAGCAAAAAAAGTTGAAAAAAAATTGCGCATCTAATTTTAATTTTAAGCAAAAAAGGGGGGAATTTTGTTATAAGAAAGAGGAGGAGAAACTCGAACACTTAGTTCAATATCACATCATTACAGTATTATTTATTACATCGTGTAATAAATAATAAGCTAAATGCACGAAGAAAGAAAAGATAAATCAAATGAAAATTATTGCTTTGATTTATAAAAATGCATTAAACACAGGAAAATTTGAAATGGATCATTTAAAGTATTTTTATTTGTTTCATATCCTCTTGGTCTAAAACGCCTAGATCAGATCGATGACACTATGTCGCCCTAAGAGCTCCACTCCCACAGCAGCCTCACATATGAGGTAAGACAATTAACAATATGAGTAGGGAAAGCGGGACTGGAACAAGGGTAAAGGTGAATAGGTGTTTTCCCTGTTGACCAATTTCAAACATATGATGTGAGCCATGAGGGATCAGGGGATAGAACGTTCACCTTTAAATGAGGTGAACCTAGAGTCCCATTGTCATTAGGCTAACCATGGGAGGTTTCCCTTTCCAAGTAACAAGATGAACGTCTCCATGTAATTCAAGAGTTCCTTGTCTTCTAGATTGGATTCAAAATTACAAGGCTGTGGAGTAGAGCATTAGTCGTCGTAAATCCAAAGCTGGGTCGGCTTTGGTCATAAATTTTGACTAATTTATGACAAAAGCATTTATGACTAATTCGATGATAATTTTGATAAACTAAAAACTTGAACCGTGGTGGCTCAGGGGATAAAGCGTTCACCTCCTAATGAGGTGGACCTGGTTGGAGTCCCTGCGGTGGTTGGTTGATATGAATTCTGCTTTTGACTCGAACCGACCACAGTGCTGACGTAAAATATCCTGAGAAGTGGACGGATCATGGATTAGAATTCTCTTAGCCGTAGGGATAGCAGTGGAAGGTTTTCCTCTCTATGTAACGTAAGTACGGGTTAGTTCAATCAAAAAGTGCTCCACCAAGACCAGTTTTTTCCAAGTGTTTGTTCCAGGAGTTCCCTTGTCTTTTGAGTGAGATGAGCATTGGTATTCGTAAACTCAGAATCAGGTCAGCTATTCAATGCTGGTTATAAAATAAAAGCTAATTAACTGAATTATTTCTTTCTGGTTAATGAATTTGCTAGAAACTGAAAACAAAACCAAACAAAATATGCTTGGATTCGATTCCGAAAGTTGCGCTGCTGGTGGCTGCTATTTACTTTTTATTATTTCCAATTAAACAATGGCAACCTCTTATATCATTGAACGGTTGCGTTAGCCGACAAGATTTAACCTTAATAGTTTCGCAGTTTTGCGGCGTTACTTTCTAATTTGTAAATATTTGTATATTTTTAATTGTTATGTTTGTTTAATCTTTTCAAGAATGTTATTTATGTTACGTAAGTTGTTTGTAAAAACTTATATCTTGCAAGGCTTATCGAACAGCTTAGAATAAGCATGGCTTCTACTATTCCTTCTCTTTTTTATTATAAAAATGAAGCGTCTATTTAATTCGTTATTATACGCTATTTCTAAATAACGTCATACACTTTTGTAGTGATATTTACTTTTTTGTATTATATATTCATTAAAGTATGACATATATCTGTATTTTTTGCTTAAATGTTACATGTGAGTCTCCAAAGATGAATGACTCAGAATGAATTTTAAGCTTATGAATCAGATCAGTTTTTCATAAGCATTTTATTCAAGGATATTTTAACTGTTTCTTTGATGTTATTTTTTGAAATTAGTTTTATAAAGTGCATCCTATTCACTTGGAAATAAAGAAATTTTTGAAGATA